TTCGTTCATGAAACCTTTGTTCTCCTGTCTGTTATGTTGTCTGTCCTTAGATTATTCATCATATTTGACCATCATCTGTCAAGCGTAAAACTGGTGTTTTTATTTTCTTGACCCATTTTCTTTGTCTCTGTAAAGCTGCATAACAAACATCCTATGGCTTTTTGAAAACAATAATAATTTTCAAAAAATAAACTTAGAACCTTCATTTCTATAACCCTGGTATCTAATCGAACAATCTAGCTACATTCGTTCTTGTTTTTTCATTTGTCATTTGATCCGAATCTTCTCTTTGAAACTTCCATGGTTGCTATCGTACTCGACAAATCAATTTGTTAAACCTATGATGATTATTTTTCACTAATAACTCTTTGCTTTCTACAACCTGTTTTGTTAATTCAACTTTTTTTGCTTTCCACTTCTCTATTCAAAGCTCGCTTGATAACAACGGAAGAGGAGGTTTAACAATCAATCTTGATTTTTTTTTTGGATTTTAAGTTGGGACCAGCTCTCCTCAAAAAGTTAAATAAGAAAGAAGGAGGTGGAGGAACTGCAATTCAAACCAGGCCACAATAAACAAAAGTGAATTGTTCATTCCACTTCATCGAGGTTACCAGTTCCAGTTGATCAACTGGTTTTCCTTGAAGAAGAAAGTGAAAGTACGAAAGCCATTTCTCCTGAGTTATCGTTCAACATAAAGTCTACAAAACTCTATTTTTCACCAAAAAACATCAGCAAATTTTTGATACAGATACTGACTACGATGGCTACTTATTTATCAATTTTGATTATCATCTGTTCATATTTTTCATCAAATTTCTTGGTCCAATCAGCTAACATAACTGATCAATTTACTGACTCTAAACATGGTATCCAAATGGGTAAAGTAATTCAAGGATGTGACGATGCTAAAGTAATTATTTTCTCTGTTTTCTCTGATATCATCTACTAATTAATTCATCCGTTTCCCTTATAAATTTTACGCTTAGACTAATTGTCATTTGCATTTTGTATTTATAGACCAACTTGGAACTTGACTGGAATAATTCGCCAACAGATTACCTTTGCTTTCACCCAAAAAATCCATATCCAGTGAAAAGAATAAAAAGCATTCAAGAATGTGTTCAACTTCCGTCTGATTATTATGTATGTATAATTAACTCTTTCAAAAATTTAAATTATAAGAGCTGTTACGCGTAAACAAGCTGAATAATTGTTTTCTTGCATTTCTCTAGCCTCAACATTTTTGTATGGACACTAAGCTTTCATATAACGTGACTCTCCCCACTTACGGAGACCATAGACCACTGTGGCCGGTCTTCGGTGAATACAAATACGTTCCTCCACAAAGATGGCTTCATAACATAGAGGTAATTTGTTTTTCTCGGAATTTGATATTCGATTGTTCCAAAATTGATTTGATTTTTATCTTTGTAGCATGGAGCCGTTGTTATGTTATACCATCCGTGTGCACATCCGTTTATGGTTAATAGATTACGTGCCATTGTTCGAGGATGTATCCGTAAACACATTATAACACCATACGTTCATCTGGACCCTGATCGCCCTCTTGCTTTGATTTCTTGGGGCTGTTCCTTGAAAATAAATTATGTCAAAAGACAAGAAATTGTCAATTTTATAAGAGTAAGTGAAAATTATTACATTAAGAGTTTGTATTATTGCATTCTAACGTGTCTTGGTATAATTTTGTCTCTTAGACTACTGCGCTTCATGGACCTGAAGGAAAGTACGCTAAAGAAGGGCAATTCACCAAAAATCTGATTAAAATTGCCACTGTACCAAAAGGATCAAATTATAACGATACTCAATTATGTCCATTTTTTTAATCTACCCATCCATCTTGCCTGACAAAAATATTTAATAGCTTTTTTTGAATCTTTTTTGAATTTCTACAATGTGATCAATTTTTGGGTGAATAATTGGGAAGGTGTGCCATACGAAGCTTAAGAATCTTCTCATTCATCAGTCCACACCAAAAGAGACTTTAAAAGTCACACAAGAAACTATCCTGGATGCAAAAGCAGGAATGTTAAGGGAGACCAAAACCTTACATGCTTATTGTTGTGATCTCATGTATTTCTCCAGTTTCGTGCTCTTTTACTATTAATTGTACATCTAAATAACGAGTCAACTGTGAAAGATTTACTTAATCAACAATCAACTTAAATAACCCATTCCCATAACAACTGTAAAATTACGTGAAAACCTTGTGATCACAATCTAGTTTACCAAGTCATTAATAATAGACCAATGTCTTTCTATCTTATTATAATTCAACTGATTCTCACAATCCTTATATACATCCCACTTTTCCACTATTTTTCTCTATCAACCTCTATTTTTAACAAGATGTGGTTATGAGAATCGTTAATTATTCATTTGTACCCGCACTTTGATGACTAAATTAGCTCTATTGTTTTGGTGATCGATATAAACATGTTGATGAATTTTCCCTCTGTTTAAATTATATGAATAATCTAAACGAGTCAACTATTGAATGGAACGATGAACAGTTTTGGATTAAATTTGCCTACCATGAACAATTAGGATTACTTCTAAAACGACCCAACGTTTCTATTATCAACACCAATGAAACTGGTTCAGAGCAAATCGATGAATCGGGCAAAATCAAACTAATTGACATAACCTTTCTGGTTCTGGTAATCTTTACAATTGTCTTTGTCTTTGTTACCTTAACCGTTAAGGTTCTTTGTCAGCGTTTGAATGACAAAGATTTCGATATTGAATACCTTGAAACTCTTAGCAGAAATATCGCGGCATCCAGAGCTTTTTCAGCTGTACATTTCGGTCAACCTGCTAGTAAATTTGTCAGTAAATCCATCAATAAATCCATCAATAAATCCATCAATAAATCCATCAAAAAATCATTCCTTAAATCCGCCTCTGAATCTGCTAGTTTACCTTCTCATAAAACTGGTCCAATGTCCGTGCCAGTTCAATCATCATCTTTCTCAATTCAAACTTCACCAATTGACCAGGATAAAAGTTCATCCGATTTGCGATTAAATGTTTCAACTGTAAAAGGAAAAATTAGTTCTATTCCATCCAAACAATCTGTCATTTTACCTGTTAATGAATCTAAATATGCCTCAAAAGCTGCAACCGATAAAGTACCTTCCAGTAGTCAATCGTTCCCTGATGCTGCACCATTAAGTAAACAATCATTGGATTTACATTCAGCTTACCGATCATCAAGTATTTCATTTGATAATCTAAGTGGAGAATCGCCAAGAAACTTGTCATTGTCATTAGGATTTTCTAGAGAGGATTTTATTTCAGTATTGTCTGATCGAGATTCATTTGAAATGGATACTAAATCACTGCATCAATCACTCAAATCATTGGGGTCAAAAAAGAGCCAAATAACATCAGGATTGCTTCAAAACAGTAAAACTTCAAAACAAGCTGATTCCAATTCTAATATTTCTCATTCATTGCTTAAGGATAATCTTGCAAGATCGAGTTATCAAAGCGAGAAAATCAAAACACTATCAGTCAACAAACCAACGCGAGTTAAAGTTAGCAATATTTATCAAGATTCGTATCCATTTGGTTCACGTTTTTCAAAATCGCCAAAAACCCCTAAGAGTCAAAGAGAGATTCAATCTCGAGCATTATCGGGCTTGGAATCAAAAGGGTCTAGATCAGTTGGTTTAAAGACTCATAAACCAAGAGCATTACCACCAAGAGGATCTTGGAAATCGACTAAAACCATTGAGAAAAATGTTAAACACGATTCACCTAAACATGCAAATTAAGCCTTAAAACATTCATTAAACTTGGTTTCTATTTTAATAATATAATAAATGTATTGATATGTCAAAATAAGCAGCCGACATGAGTCGCTTTGAATCAAATGTATCTAAATCTTGAGTTGATTAGATAACTTGATCATCAAGCATATTTAGATGTCACTTGATCAACTTTAAAAATCAAAGAAAAAGATACGTCAGAATAATTTATTCCTCCTGATGAATGACGGTTTTTAAATCTGGTTTTACACTAAAAAAGAGTTAAGATTATTTCGATTAGATTAGTCTTTTTCCTAGAGGATGAAAGTTGATCGGGTTTGTTACAAACTGGACTTATCAGGTGTTGTAACTGAATGAGGTCGGTTATTTACAATCTTCACTTTCTTTAAATGAAACATCTTATTCAGTGAGGTAATTGTGATTGAGTTTGGGGAGGCAAATTAATTAAAAGAGACTTTGATTCCTAAAGTAAATCGATATGCAATTAGCATGTTTGAAGGTGCTTTTCAATCATTATCAGACCTCTAGCAGACTCGAGAGTTGATTGAAAAGAGCAAACTAAAGGTGGCCTTGGATTGGAAAATAACTAGCCTCATAATTATCATGATCATCATCATAAACACAATCATCAAGATAAGTAACATCACACTTGAAAGATAGTAAGATGAAGACAAATCAAATTAAGTAAAATATCTTTAGTTGAACAGGTTTAATTGTAAAGTGAATCTTGCCAAAACAATCAATACCAATAACATTGCCAATATGTCAAGATTACGAAGAGTTACCCCAGTGCCTAGGTAAGCCTGTGAACCCATTTTTTGGGTTTCCTTAACCATCATTTGTTTTGATTTTTATTTTTTTCTTCCTCAATTTTTTGTTCATCCAAGTGACATTGATATTGTCAAAGCCCATTCATGTTTACCAATCGGTGAAATTGCCAGTAAAATTGGTTTAACTGCCAGTGACCTAGAATATTATGGACCCTTTATGGCTAAATTAAACACCAAAATTCCAGCCAGCTTGGAACCAAAGGAACGAGGGAAATATGTAGTTGTCTGTGGAATCACTCCTACACCACTTGGTGAAGGTAAGATCAAATTAATGTATTACTTTATTATTGTACAATCAATCTTAATTAACTTGAGTTCTCATACATCTTCGTATAATCCTTTTAACTGACAATCCTTAATTATCTAGGGAAAAGTACAACAACCATTGGTCTGGCTCAGGCAATGGGTGCTTGGTTGAATAGGAAATGTATTGCTTGTATTAGACAGCCAAGTCAAGGTCCAACTTTTGGTATCAAAGGTAAATAACAATTTGTTGAAACCATGATCATTGAAAAGCTTCAATAGCTGAGTTCAGTGATTCAACTTAAATTTGAGTTTTATTACTAGATATTGCGTTAAAACTCATAATTTGAAGTTAATTTCCATTTTCCATTAATTTTAATCGTTCATAATGATAATTGTTGCTAATAATCATAATCGTTTCAACTTGTTATTTCATACTAAACACCAATAGGAGGAGCAGCTGGTGGTGGCTATTCGCAGGTTATTCCTATGGAGAGTTTCAATCTTCACTTCACAGGTAAAATTGACGACTGGATTTTGTTGTAATCAGAAATTTACCCAATTTTTTTAAATTTAAGGCGATATCCATGCAATATCTGCTGCTCATAATCTGATAGCTGCAGCTATCGATGCTAGAGGACTTCATGAGGCGACTCAATCTGATAAAGCTTTATTTAATCGCTTGGTACCAAAAAAGGTATAGATATGACTTTTATTATCATTGACATTCTAGTTAACATTAAAATTATCATTTTCATCTTCTATTAGCCTGGTAAACCAAGAGTTTTCAGTCCAATTCAGAAATTGCGCCTTAAAAAGCTTGGAATTGATGTTAACATTGATCCAGAAAAGTTGACGGATGAACAGAAACGATCTTTTGCTCGACTCAATATCAATATGGAAACAATAAACTGGAATCGTGTTGTCGATCTTAATGATAGATTCTTGAGAAAAGTCAAAATTGGATTGTCACCATCAGAACAAGGGTTTAGTAGAGAGGTAAAATAAACAAACATTTCATGATTGAGTGACATTGATCACAAAATTAGTTTTAATGATTTATTAAGACTAATTTAAAATAACCATTCTAAATGGTGCAGGATTTCAATTAGTAATTTTGGATCATATGTTAATTTTGCAGACGCAATATGATATTACAGTTGCTAGTGAGTTGATGGCAATCCTTTCATTGGCCAATAATCTTAAAGAAGCGCGAGAACGTATTGGTAATGTTGTTATTGGTAATGCTAAAGATGAAAAACAAACACCTATAACTTGTGAAGATTTAGGTGTTGCTGGTGCTGCAACGGTTCTAGTCAAAGGTTAGTAATTATTTAATTTGTGAAATTTTTAGTTAATTTTGAGCTTTTACTCATTTATTAATTCTGTTAATTTATTTAAACAGATGCTTTGAAGCCAACCTTAATTCAGACTCTGGAAGGAACACCTGTTTTAGTTCACTGCGGTCCTTTTGCCAATATTGCTCATGGTAGCTCATCAGTTATCGCTGATAAAATTGCTCTTAAACTTGTTGGACCCGATGGATTTGTTGGTAAGTATTTAATTGAGAGTGAATGTAAGCATAATTATTAACATTGTTTCTTGTTTTGCTCTTTATTACAGTTACTGAAGCTGGATTTGGAGCTGATATTGGACTTGAGAAATTCGTTGATATTAAGTGTCGAAGCTCTGGTTTATTGCCTGATTGTGTAGTAATTGTGGCAACTGTGCGAGCTCTCAAAACACATGGTAATGGGCCACCTATTACACCAGGAGCAACTGTCCCTGCTGAATATTTACAAGAGGTGAGATAGAGAAATCTATTTTGTCACTTTTTTATTACCAAAATCATGTTACATTTTTTTGTTGACAGAATATGGAACTTCTTGAGAAAGGAACTGTTAATCTTGAAACGCATATTCGTAATATTAGACGGTTCAATCTTCCTGTGGTCGTCGCTATCAACAAATTTTCAACAGATACTCTAAAAGAGCTTGATTTCGTCCGAGAAAAAGCTATTGCAGCTGGTGCATCTGATGCTCAAATTGCAAATCATTGGGAACTTGGTGGTGAAGGTGCTCTTGATTTAGCTAAAAGTTTGATCAAAGTCTGTGACCAATCTGAATCAAATTCACGATTTCTCTATGATTTAAACCTTACAATCAAGGTAAATCCAACATAAATTTATTTACACCTTCGTTGGTAATCTCAAACTCATTGTTTTATTATTGTTTTTCTAGGAGAAAATCGAAATCATTGCTAAGCAAATTTATGGTGCTGGATCGATAAAGTACTCTGAAAAGGCTGAAGAGAAGATAAAGGTAAGTGTTCTAAGGAATATTTTTTGATTGCTTATTGAAATCTATTTTTTATTTTAGCTTTACGAACAATCTGGTTATAGCTCAATGCCAATTTGTATCGCTAAAACTCAACTTTCGCTGTCACATGATCCAACCCTCAAAGGTACATTTCGTGAATCATATTTGTTTATCATCGAACAAGTTCTGCCGAAATTCATTATGATCTTGTTTTTCTAATTTTAAATCATTAATTTTTAGGAGCTCCTTCTGGTTTTGAATTTCCCATTATTGATGTTCGTATTTCTGTTGGTGCTGGATTCATTTTTCCAATGGCTGGCGAAGTGAGTCTTGTTTTACATGAAAATGAGTTGAAACTGAAATATTATCCATTGACTAGATTATTAACCTAATTGTTTCCTTTATAGATACTAACAATGCCCGGATTACCCACTCGTCCTGCCTTTTATGATATCGACATAAACACTGAAACTGGAGAGATCCATGGATTGTTTTAAATGAAATGACGAATTTGAAGCCAAAAATTATCTGAAAGACCATGAAACTTATCAATGATTTTTTCAAAGCAATCGTTAGTAATATAAAGATTTCCGTAGAGCTTAAATATTTGATGAGAAGATTAAATCTTTGCTAACTTTGAGATGTGAATAAATACTGTAGGCTGCTCCCAATTTATAATCAATTAATAAATTTGATTGTCAAATTTTTTCTCCGTCTGACTGTGTGTCAAACATATGTCAATTCATTTTCGTCGAATCTGTTGACAGTTAAAAATCAGTTCATTTTTCTCTTGAGTTAAAATTTTATTAAGTGGTGAAAATTATTGACCACTTCTAGAAACAAAACATTACAGTTAAATTTTTCATTGATCAACAATCTGAATGAATTTACAGATGAAATTTAGATGTATAAAATGATATGAAAATAACAAGAATAAAATCAAAATCAAATGCTCCACACTCTCGTTAGATTAATTTTTAATCATTAAGATTATTGAATTTCTTTTTTAACTCCTTATTTGTTTGCGAATTTGTACTTTTCGTTTCTTCACTTCGTCTTTAACAAAAGATATATTCGAATGATAATAAATTAGTAACAATATTAAACCAGATAAACTTGATAAGAACCTGATTCAACTAAACTCTTCAATTTCTTTAATTGCTTGGTCTAATTCGTCCGATAAACGCATTTGCAGCAAACTTTTTTCGTGGCCATTATCTTAATGGTATGAGTACTGCAATCATTGGAGAGCATTTTGAGTCAACTCTTCAAGCTCAACCGCTTCGAAATCCATATCCTTTTCATAAAGAGCTAAAATAGAAAGAGACAAAACAGCCAAAGCAATTCCAGCATTCTGAAGAGCGAGGATTTGTAACGATGATTTTACACCTTTGCGACTTGCATTTTCCATCGATCTATTCATTTCTCTCATAACATCAACCAAAGCCATATATAAAAACATGCCACCAGCCAAAGCAAATATATAAGGCGATTCTTCTTCAGCAGCATCACCCAAAAAGATACCCAAAACAAGACCAGCATAAAGCGTACAAGCGGAAATAAAAATCAGAAAAAATCCTTGTTTCATCTCCATTCCAGCTCTAATTAAGACTGCAAACGTTCCTAATCGATGAGGCACTTCTTCCAACATGACAGCAACCGAAATTGATATTCCAGCTAAAATGTTACGATCAAAAGCAGCACCAATAGATAGACCATCGATGAAATTGAGTGATGCATCACCTAAAACAATCATCCATGCGGCAGCGTCAATAATGGCTCGAGTAGAAGTATATTGATCTTTCCTGCGACCAGCCATATCAGAGACAAAAGCTTGTTTCCTCAAAATCGTATCGATATCGGTTGCTAGAGAGGAACCACCAGGAGCTAAATTGCCAGTAACGCTAACTGCAGTCACAGATGCAGCAGCTACAACCGCCAAATCACTTGATGGTCCAATGTCTTGAACAGCTATGCTTTTTAATGTCACAGGATCACGTATACTGGCCAGTTTAGCATCCATTTGAAATTTAGGCGAGTCAGCATGAGCTGTCGGTGATGTGAACAGAGTTTCAAGGATTTCGGTTTCCGCACTGGCAGAGTCAAAGCCTCTTGCAGTTGAAACTAAGCCTGGAGGCCTACTCAAAGTACTTGATCGTGTTAAAATGCTAAATGGATCAATTTCATCAGGAATTGATGAGTTTCGTCGTCGCCTACCTCGAGGTCCATTACGAACTTTCATAAAAACGAGAAGTTTCAAAAGTCTTTCAATGATGTAAAAAAAATAAATCCCTGCAAAAATGAAGAATGTTTTCCAAAAATATTTACGATAATCGTCATCAGCTATACCAAAGGCTTGTGGAAATAAATGAAGAATAGCTGATCCTGCCAATCCACCGGCAGCTAAACCTTCAAACAGAGTCAGTATGGTTCGTCGATGGTCACGGTGTAAAAAGGGCAGTAAAATTAAACCTCCCATTGAAACGACAATTGATAAAGTAACAAAAAGAATAGCAAATGCCCAAACTTTCTCAGATGAAGGTTCAACCAGAATGGGTTTCTTTGATGCTTTAGCGTGTGAATCAACAACTTCACACAATACTCGGGTCTGACGGAACAAGATTAACGGACAGAGACGAGTTAATGCTTGATGTAGGGACACTATTTTCTTTGGCATCATTGATATCATATCAGCTGCTGACAAACACTCTTGGGTAACAGCGTGACAAAGAGGTCTGTTATCAGGTGCAAGTGAATCACAGCCTAAATCCCTTTCCTCCATAGCTGGATAAAGCAGTAAGCCTGTTGGTGAAAAGGATCGTCGTTGTAATTTGTACAAATGGTTAATCAATTTATCCAAAACAATTGTGTCCAAGTCCATTTCAGATTCTGGTCCCATAACAATATGTCCTCTAATTAACACAAAAGCAGCTAATAATTCAATGTCCAAGTTGGTGTCAAGTATTGGATTGCTTCTGTTCCAAAGGGGTTGGCGATCAGATGTTACAGATGTTGCTTTTATGGACTGAGCCATCATTAAAAGTAATAATTGAAGGCACAATAAAAAAGTTAATTCAAAATTCATAATTAAATTTTCACAGTAACGAAAATAGTCCAATTAAGGTCATCTGATTGATTAAAAGAAGGTTAAATTTGTTTAAAAAAAGCAGAAACAAGGTTAAGGTATATAACAACGTCTGAATGCTGATTCATAAGATCAACAGAAATCTTTGTTTTTCTCTCTTTCTCCCCTCTAAATTTTCAACCTTATTCATTTCTGGATCTATTAGCCAGCCTTTCGATGTTTTTCATTCAATTAGTTTTCTTTTTCTTCATTATACTCTTACTTTATTAATAATTTGATTAGATTATTGTTGATCAAAGCCGGTATTATTAACTTACCATTCGGTACTTGAATTTATCTCGTCGTTTTTATCGATCCAATTGAACATTTCATTTTCATTTCATTACCACTGTTGATGTAAAAATATGAATGAAATGAATAATATTTTAATATCAATATTACAATTTATATTATAATATCATATTAGAGTATCAAAAATTTAGCTTTTATTTAAATTACTTCTGATTCTCTGGTTGTCTCAATAATTTCAGAGTTACAAGAGCATCTTTACTTGTGGTACATCAAGTGCTTGTAGACCATTATTTGACTCGATCGGAGTCAGTTAACTATAATTATTTAGCTAATCAAAACAATTAAAAGTTGCCAGAACTTGTTGATATTTCTGATAAGAAAATCAAATCTGAATAATTATCAGAAAATTCAAATTATTATTGAATCATGATTTCTTATTGATTGATCATAATCCAAGATTAATCATATTGTTGTGTTATTTACCTGTTGAGGGTTAAGTTGAAGCGAAGACGCAAAGTTAGAAATTGATTTTTATCATTTTCATTTGTTATTCAGTTGTATCATTGAAAATCACCTGATTTAGGATCTTTATTCACTTTATTGATGATTCATTCAAGAAAATGTGATCAACTGATAAATTGGTGATCTGACTTCATTGAACAAATCATCTTAGCTCTTAATTCATTGATAAAACCCTTTAAGTTACGGACGCCCATCCTTACGGAAGGTAAAGCCCAACCTTTCTTGTGGTTTGAATGGCGGGTCCGATAAGGCTGTAAACTTGAGTCTCACAAAAATGTACATTTCATTGGAAAGTGAAATACAAAAGCATTTTGAAAATGTGTTTATATGATTTGATTTTTTGCCTTCATTTGTTTTATCCTTGCATGTTAAGTTCAATTTTATTTAAAATGGCATCAAATTTAGTATCAGAGAAGATGATAAGTTCATGTTCTGTGAGGAAAAACCATGTTCTTTGACATACAGAGTGAGATTACTTACAGCGGTTCAATTCCATACATAAAAATCAAACTAATCATGAAACCAATGAGCCACATAGTGGTTTGTAATTGCGAACAAGAACAGAAAAAATCGCAGCAAAACGTGAAAAATTTAGCTTTGCTCTTTTTTACAGTTACTGAAGCTGGATTTGGAGTTGATATTGGACTAGAGAACTGGACCGTCCTCCTGATCTTCCTGTGGTCGTCCCTAACAATCGTAGTTATCAGATACTCTGAAAGAGCTAAACTTTGTCCGAGAAAAAGCTATAGCAGCTGGTGCATCTGATGCTCAAAGTGCTGCTCAAACTGAAACTGAAGAGATGCATGGATTGTTTTAAATGAAATGACGCAATTAGAGTGAAAAATTATCTGAAAGACCATGAAACTTATCAACGCTCCTTTCAAGGCAATCGTTGATAATATCAGCATCTCCGTAAGAGGTTAAATATTTGATGAGAAAAGTAAATTTTTGCTAACTTTGAGATTCTTCGTGATATCAGTGAATAGATACACTTCAAACTGATTTTACAAGTTCGACGTATTTGGTAGAGTCAATAGTCAATTTCAATTCATCCAAATTTTGATCATTAATTAATTTAGTTTTAACTCATTTCACAACCCAAATAAGATGTTACTGAAAATGAGATGCAAGACTTAATCAAATCCAGACTTTAAAATCGGCTTAAAATGATTATGAAAATAACCTGAAAGATATGATTGTAAATGGTCCAAGTATTGAACTCAGATCATTCAAAAACAAGAAACAAATAACTCAACATTTACTGAAATAAGCTAAAAATCCAACGAGCTGGACGGTTCCTCACTCCAATACAACCTATTGAAGCTTCTGATTCTGTTTCAGCAAAATCTGAATTCTGTTGAGTTTATCGAATCAATTTTATTACATTCTTCTTTTACATCACGTAAGCATTTCACAATGAAATCTATAAACTGGGAGAAATGTCTGAATGAAGAAACAAATGAAATGCTGAGTTTAACATTGAAATTTTTCAGACAACACTTCTTCAGACTAATTTACTCTTGTTTTCAAAAACATCAAAAATATTACAATTAAATTGGGTGAAAAAAGTGAGTCAAAAACCTCTAAAACTTGATTTAAAAATGCAAACAAGTTGATCAACAGAATACAATTTAACAAATTAACTTGAAATCATGAAAATTGCTTGAATGTTATCTAGACAAGTGACTTCCTTTGAGTTGAAGCTTTGTCATGAAAAAATGTATGAATCCATTGATATATACGTAAACATGAGTTGTTGATGTTGGCAAGAAAGTTTCAACATTAATTTCAAGAGCAGTGATCATGTTTAATGATAAAAAATTAACAAAAGCGCCAACAATTACACATTAAATTGAACAATTTATTGGACAATTTAAGTCTATCGGAAAGACGCGACATTTGTATTTTGTTAAACAAATGTCTTGGATAAAGTGGTTCAATTGAATGAGGGAAATAAACAGCAGCAATTTGATCACGTTTCTTCATTAACAGATTGTCCCATTGATATTTAAAGAGTGGGTTATCCTCAGAAAAGCAATCAATTGATTGTCTTTAAATTATTGAGGCAAAAGGCAAAAGATTTTCATTTAATTATTGAGAGTAACACGGAAAGATTAGCCAGCAAACACATTGCAATGCAGGTAAACCAGAAAGCTATACAAATAGACTATTAACTAATGATCGATCCTAATCAATGTTGTTAGCTCCGGAAATGTCAAACAATTTATCAAGTAAAAGTGGATTATTTTAATAGCTATTAACGATATCTTTATTACAATTAACTGTTTGCTGAAGACAATCATTGAGTATCCTCCTCAATCGTCTTCAATCCAAGTAAATCCCTCCTTAGTCATAATTCAACATTGCTGTATCTAACCAGTTTACCAGATAATTTCAAGTGTTCAACTCAATTTTATCATTTTCATTCAACTTTTTTTCTCACTCAGTTGTCTCTCCTAATTTACCTTAAATTGTTACTCACAAAGAGAGTGTTTCTTCGCTTATTATTATTGTTATTAAAACTGAGCTGATTCACAATTTGAGAATCACAATTTTCAATTCTGTTATCAACAACATTTTCACTTGTTCAACATCAACAATAACCATTGAATCTCAACCTTTTCAAACAAATTTTACATCAATCAACGATTTTGGATAAATATTTATGTGAATAAACATTTGAATGTAAAATAATCATGTTTATCGGTCAAGCAAATATCCTTATAACTCTGTTCATCGCTTCATCCATTGGATTCTCAGAGGCTGGTAAATCTCCATACCATTTGTGTAAGTAACCTTTAAATAACTATCTTTTGTCCAAATATTTCATTTACTTTTCCATCTTTTTCAGGCAAAGAACGGAGTTCCCTGTCGAGAGACATTAAAATTGACATCAGTGACTGTGAATACAAGGAACGATGTCCTTTATTTAGAGGCCAAAACACAACCATGTCCATTACCTTCAGTAAGTCCATCGATATTTTCATTTCTAATAACATCAAATATTAGCATCAATATAAATGCTTCAATTCAAGGTTGCCTTTGCTCAAAATTGATTTTTGAAAAGAAGTCAAATTAAAATCAACTCAATTTAACATTGAATATTAGGTTAGGTCTTTTCAAAAGTTCAGTATGATGTCAAGTTTTGTCCCAATCGCGCTTTGAAGTTGAAACAATTTTTGATATTTTCCCGTGAACCAGTCATGATAGAGCTCTGAAATTTTGGGTAAATATGGTTCTAAGTTAGGTCTATCGATCAACCTCAGAAATTCATTTCAAGACGTGGATCATGTGTAGTAGCGGTTAGGTCATTTAACTTTGATCGATACTTAACTGATAATGCTGCCATCAAACTTGATCCTAATCAGCTCAAATGGCTCTTATTATCAGCTATGAGCTAGCGTGATGTTTTTTTTCATATGATCAGCAGTTTGCTTATTTTACGAGTGGCTTTACTTTTTTCGATAAGCTCTAGCTTCTGAATCAATGAAACTTTCAACTCAAATATACTTTTATGACAAAAGATTGGATTCATCCAAAGTCTCGGAAAACTTGAATTTTGAGTCTACTTTCACTTGAGTGGGCTATATCAAGCGATTGGGACAAAATGTGACATTAATCTTTGAAAGACTAAAATGGTTTTCGATAAAATTGACGATTTTCAATTTGACGAAAGTCGTTTTTTGTGACCTCTTCTGATCGGTTAAATTATGGAATGAGATTGTTGAATTGACCCACTGCTTTGATCACACAACAATGTCAATGGTATTATTCAACTAAAGTTGTGTTCCAGATCAATTGTTGTCACCAGTTTGGGTTAAATTAGATTACAATTAAATTAAATTGCTTTCTATGTTTAGATTGTTGCTTAATGTTAAATCTTCAATGAAAGTAAATACTACAATAATGGTAAACATTTCAAGTTCATTCTGACATGCAACACTAACATTAACGTCATTCATTTATATCGTCTCATGTAATTACGTAATGCCGTTATTTTGACAATGTTTTTCAATTTGTTACAATCAACCGAGTTAATTCAACAAATTAAACAAGATTGATCAATTTGTCTTTTCAAGAACACGAGTCAATACTGAATTAGAGCAAAAAGAGACGCAATTTTCCTAAAATTTTGTCAACTCATAATAATTTTGTCTCGTTTCTTTGATCAGCTCCATATTTTGATACAAGTCGTGGAATCGAAAGGATTTTAACCGGAAAATTTTCATCCATCAAGGGAAAGAAAATTGTTGAACTTCCAATGGTTAAACCAATCGATGCGAGCAAAGAGACGTTCAGAGTATTTGATAATGTACCTGTATCAATGGTTCCCATAAAGCGTAACTTGGCCTACACAACTCAATTTACTTATGCAGTTCCAGTTGCGGCAGCAAAGGTAAGCTTTTTCATTCCAATGGTTAAACCAATCGATGCGAGCAAAGAGACGTTCAGGGTTTTTGATAATGTACCTGTATCAATGGTTCCCATAAAGCAGATACAAAACCAATCTTCTTCAGCATTCATCCAAATAAGTCTTTGGTCTTTTATACATTGCTCGACTCAAAGTAACACTTGTTAACATTGAGAAGAGATTAGACCTCAATCAAGTCGATTAATATACAAAATAATTGATAGATTTTATTAAATCAGACATTTATTGAGACAATTTAAGGTTAAATTGTTTGCAAGGTAACAAAGCTTCTCATTTTGATTCATTGAATCAGAGTCAGTATTTTAAAAAATACAAAAATAGGAATAAAATTTGAAGCTTTTAAGTCAATTTTACAAATGAGATTTGAATGCAGCTTTTTGTCATCAGAAACAGATTCATAATGTTTATTTGTTTGTTCACATTTTTAGGGTCCTTTTGATCTTCGCTTGGTGATACGGGAAAAGGTAAATGGCACTAAATCGTGGAGAAACAATAACGGAGCTGTTTATGTTTGTGCCATGATTCCGTTACAGTATGTTTAAGATTGAAACAGCAAACCATGGTAAAGAGTATAAAGAGGAATTGCGAGAATGAGAACTGATCACCAACAGTCAATACCATTAATCACTTATCACACCAATTAATTATCAACAATACCCGACCTTTGCCCAGCTGAAAGAGGGTCCTTGACATTTAAATCATCATCAACATCATTTTTTCTCATCTTCTTCATGGTTAACTTTGTCCATATTTTGATGAAAAAAACAAACAACCAATTGAGTTTACCCTTTCAAGTAGCTGATTGCTGTTTAACCATTGAAGAGTGAACCTGTTGAAATTGAAATCGTGAGGTGAAAAAGTGATCTACTTAAGTAACATTAGATTGTTCAAACAACGAAAGTTGCGACCAAAGACACAGAAAAGCCAACAAAATGGTCAACCATTGAAACAATAACCAAATCTAAAGGAAACTGGAAACTGCATTGTAATTCAATTGTTTCAATCATCCATCATCAATTGAATGATTTAATGAATTTACCCAATTTTAGAGTAAAAATTTTCTCTCCTCATGATAACAATTTAGACTAGATGATTGGCCTTAGTTGAAAATCTGAGTGTAAATGGAATGACCCTCGACACTTGGAAAGGTTGGAAAATGATTAACCTAAAAGCATCTAAATGGATAAGGGCCCAGCCGAGTTGCAATTAAATCAAAATTAGCCATTCATAATTTAATGAAACAATACCAAGTAATTGGAATCAACAAATATGATTCCGTTAAATGTTAACATAATATACTTTTTCAATATTTTAGTTTCTTAGAGTCTACGGTTCAGACTGGTCAATTGTTATAACAAGGGAAACAAAAACCTTTGTGAGTTTATGCACTCAGTCTGGACACTGATTAACAATGTAATCAAAAACCACTGAAAACATCATATAACAGTATTAAAATATTTTTGTGTCTCTGTAATCAAATAAAAATAAGAGTTAATTTTTGTTAAACAATTGTGATTATTATTTGCTGAACAACTAAACATGGTGAATACTTACATTCAATGTCAATCAGATTGGGAATCAAGGTTGATTAGTACAGGGAATTTCTTGGATATTAAGTGTCTAGCTCTGGTTATTACCCGATTAAGTAGTAATTGTGGCAACCATTAGAGATCTTAAACACATGGTACACTAGGAGCAACTGTCCCTGCTGATTACAGTTGATATAAGATTTAGAAGTTCATTTTTTATCACTTAATTATTTTGATTTGTTTGTTGACAGAATATGGAACTTCTTGAGAAAGGAAATGTTGATCTTGAAACGCACAATCATAATATCCGCTTCGGTAATGGTCTTATTGTACGGACACAGGGAGGAGTCTTAATTTAACACACAGTTTGATCCAATCACAAGACACTCATATGTTTATTTCAATTGATTAATCCATAAAAATGATAATCTATTGTATTTTGTGTTAATGGATTTTCTTATCAACATTAAATGCTTGCATTAGTGGTCAAACAAATTGACCAGCAACCCACTCCAGAATTAGTTTTAATATCTTTTCCTTTTGTGTTGTTTTCAGTTTTTTTATTCCAGTGATTGGATATTTAAGTCTTGTTATTTACGCCCTGTGTCCATAAAACTAGACAGTTACCGACAGTTCAACCTTGCTGTGGTCTTCGCTATCAACAAATTTTCAACAGATACTCTAAAACAGCTTAATCTTTTATTATGAATTAATTCTTGAAATATCGAGGTTTTAACATCATTCGATAAAATTAAGTGAAATATCGATAGATTGAAGAAAGTGTTTGATCATTTCTTTCATTGAAAATAAGTGATTCTGTTTGAGTTGGGAATTTTCAACCCTAAAGTGATATTTAAAAACACCAGGAAATTTATTCTCTGTATTTATTTCTTTATATTGATTTACACTAATTAATCAATGATAATTCTATCAAATATTTTATTAAATCGATTCATCCAAACCATTGATACTTTGTTGTGCATATTAAAACAACTTGTCTGTTGATAATTGCTAATCTTACCAACAGCTAGTTATCGTGGTCTATCGAAACCTAGAATCCCCCAATTATATCATATCTATTGTTAATTACATTACTGATAACTTGCCTTTCGGGCAAAGTTTTTCTTTGTTTACGAACTCAATCAATCACATGCTTAATTAGGCAATCAAAATAGTTACAATATTGGCTTACCTCAAAACTTTTCTTGAGTGCTTTAAAGCACAAACTTGCTTAATTAACTTATAATAAAGGTAATTTAGATATTTTCGTCTTTATAACTGAAAGCGTCACTAAAAAGTCAAAAAGTAAACGGAATTTGAGCTAAAAAAGTGATAAAAATATGCTACAGTTTTTTAGATTTTTACAAGTTATTCTTGACTATCATTGATTGGCAAGATTGTCTTTTGACAGCAGAAGACAATTGTTCAGGTTTATTCAACATTGATAAAACTATTATTATTCAGTCATTTATTTAACTATTATAATTATCTCTAGACTGCTACCATTATCTTGATGTTAGCGTAACTTCCCCATGGAAATAAAACATTGGTCTTCTACTGTATTACCATTTTTTCACCATTTCAACTCTTGAGTAAGCTGCAAGATGATCCCTCAAAGGATTACACAAGTGTTTCTATATGTTTGCTTGTTTACATTAACATTGTCTGCAAAGGTAAGAATGTTTATTTGTTGATAATTATATTCATTATTTAATTTTATAATTACAATTTATTTAAGGTCGACCGTAAATTTGAGATTGACAATGTAAAAAACTGTTTTCTCAAAGATGGTGAGCCATTCCGTTATGTAGCTGGATGTTTCCATTATTTCCGTGCCCCTCATCAATATTGGACTGATCGGTTGACCAAGCTTAGAGCTGCTGGTTTAAATGCGCTTCAAACGTAAGTAAAAATCTACAGTTAAAAATTTTAATGTTGATTTTATTGTTTCGATTAGTTATATTGAGTGGGGATCTCATGAACCAAGAGAAGGTGAATACAATTTTGAAGGTGATCTCAACATAACTGACTTTTTTGAGAAAGCTCAAGAAGCTGATCTACTTGTGGTTCTAAGAATTGGTCCTTATGCTTGTGCTGAAAGAGATTTTGTAAGTCTTATTGATGTTTGCTTATTATTGACCTTTAACTAACCAAATTTTTACTTTAGGGTGGACTTCCATGGTGGTTATTGCAATATAATGTCAAGTTGCGAAGTAATGATGACATTTACATGAATTATGTTGAAAAATGGTTTAATGTTTTGTTGCCTAAGATTAAGCCATACCTTTACAAAAATGGAGGACCCATAATCACAGTACAGATTGAAAATGAATATGGAGCTTTTGGAACCTGTGATTTTGAATATACATCGCGACTTCGTGATATTGTACATTCAGCTTTAGGTAAAGATGTCATCTTATTTACAACTGACCAACCGAACCATGATGGACTTCGTTGCGCTGTAATCGACCAAACTCTAGCCACTATCGATTTTGGTATTGGACAAGAACCAAGCAAAGTATTTGGTGTCTTGAGAGCCCATCGAGCTTCTGGTCCACTAGTTAACTCTGAATTTTACCCCGGATGGTTGGATCGATGGGGTGAAGCTCATCAAAAAAGGTCTACAAGTGATGTTACCTATTGGTTGGACAAGATTTTAGCTTATAATGCGTCAGTTGCCTTGTAAGTTTACCAATTAATCAATTTAATACACTATTTCCAACCAGAATATTTCTGCTCAATTTAGTTACATGTTTTACGGAGGAACCTCATTTGGTTTCAATTCTGGAGCCAACTTTGAAAGCGGAGTATACAAACCACAGATAACTAGCTATGATTACGATTCGCCAATGAATGAGGCCGGAGACACAACAGACAAATACGATGCTATTAAAAAAGTTATTTCAAAGGTAAAATTATTGATACTCTTGTCATCCTTGAGTATTGTTTCGTAAAATAATTTTTTTACTTTTTAAATTGTCAGTATTTACCAGTTCCTGAGATTGAAATAAAAGAATCGAGTGATAAGATCAAATTTGGTCCAGTCAAGCTGGAATTAACCGCTGCTTTTCCTCAACTCTTTACTTCATCATGGAAATCTAAATCAGCAACTGATCCACAAGCATTTGAATATCTTGGAGCTAGAAATGGACTAGTTCTTTATTCAACTAAAATCGATTTCAGGCCCACTAGTCCCTCAACTCTTACAATGGCTAACCTTAGAGATAGAGCTTACATTTATGTTGATAAGGTACGCAAGTTCAATTATATTCAAACAATTATCTTTGCAAGAAATGAAAAATACTAATAACATTATGATTCATTTAGGTTTACCAAGGATACGTTGGAAGGCAAGAAAAATCTTTGGTAATTCCAATCAGAGCTAAAAAAGGATCGATTCTTGATATTGTTGTTGAAAACCAAGGACGCATAAATTACGATCAACAAATCGCTGAACATAAGGTTGGTATAATTTAAATCTTCACCTTACAATTTCAAAATTGTTGATGCATTTCTTGTGAACAGGGAATTTTCGGGGATGTAAGTCTTGGATCTAAAGTTTTGAAAAACTGGAATCACATTTACCTTGAAGATTGGGAAGACTTTGTTACTAAAGGATATGATTTGAAAGTAGCGGGTTCTTTGGAAGAGGTCAAAAATCTGGGCCAATCTTTGACTCCGGCAGTTTTAAAAGGACAATTTACTTTGGCGGCCGATGTTAAACCAGCTGATACTTTCCTTAACCCAAGTAATCTGACTAAAGGATTTGTTTACCTTAATGGTAAATGTCTTGGACGATATTGGCCCGCTAATGGACCTCAAATTACTCTTTATGTTCCTGGAGTTTGGCTCAAAGGTTACCCTGAATCAAATGAATTAGTTGTTGTTGAACTTGAAGATACTCCTTGTTTGGCTGATGGTAAATGTTCAATTAACTTTGATGATACCCCACAAATTGATGCACCAGTCCCTGAAAACTTTTAGACTCCACTAAATGTTACCTTTCTTATCATGGAAATGAATTGTAATAGATTATTTGTTTTCCTTTCTCGGTGAAATCTTTGTATTTTTAATAACAATTAAAGTTATTTTTGTCTTAATTAATTGATCATAGTGACTTTGATTTCTAATTACCAAATATATCGAAAAACCAAAGATAAAAGCAAATAAACAGCTATGATAAAAACAAACAATAGAAATGATACACACGAAAATCAAGATAACTTGGTTAGAATTCAAGATTAAATTGATCAATATAATCATTGTATACAAGTTAATCAATCAGTTGGATTCATGGTTTCATGCAGACTTCATCAAATTAACTGTGAGTAAATTGGTGAAGTAAAGTATAACAAAAATACTTTATTAATTTGTTTTTGTGCAGTCGTCAAGAATCAACCAAACTAAGAATGGAGTTAGGTGATTATTTAGCATCGTCGAGACACCGACGTGATTACCCATCAATCATTTTACTCATTGTTAAATATTTTCTCCTTATTGCCATGTTTCTCTCGTCACTTTATGTAATCATCTTCATCTGTTCTTTCGTATTTAACCAGGACGCTTGGACCAGCAAATTGAAACATGAGTTAGAGTTATCGAATAGACTTTTCATGTCTGACCCATTTGATCCAACAAGTAAGCCTTTAACAACTGAAACACCCGAACCTGAACCAAGGATTCCATCCAACTATTTAAACAAATTGATAACCCAAGAGATTGATATGTTTCTTGTTAAATCTGCTCTCGGTTTGGTCTATTTTGCTGTTGGCTTTATCGCTTTGATATCGGAAGATTATTACATTTCATTGTTTTTCTCGTTCACCTCTCTCGTTGGTTTCCTCTGTAGCCTTGTTAGACGTGAAAATGAACTCCAAATTGTATTGATGATTTACACAATAACCATATCATTGTTTTCACTAATCCATTGTGCTTTGTTGAAATTAACTGCGAGAGAAAAATCTTATTATTATGGATATCTTCAATCCTGAGCAACATAACAACCTCGTCAATTTGAAGAGTTTTAACATCCAGACAACAATTATAATTGTTATTCAACTTATACTTACATGGAAATCATCCTTCATTGTATTTGTTTTTACAATTTTTTACTAACTTTGCAAAGGGATCGTACTGATGCACTCAAAAAAGCTGACATAAATACCGATTTTTATCTCACATGTGATTAAATGTGTTAGCTATTCCAATAAAACATGTACATTTAAGTAAATAAAAATTGAATTCCAATGAAATTATTTTGATCAGCATCAGATAAAATGATTTTACCACTTTGATCCATTCATTTATCTTTCACAGCGTTATAGGAATGTGAAATTCATGTTGACAACTCAGCAATCAAGGTAGAGATCGACGCCAAACAGATAGGCACGGGTTAATTAACACGAAAATGGTGTGCGAGATGAAATGTGAAACTCCAACATTAAGTAATAATGATAATATTCTGTAGTGATAAGATGATAGAGAAACCAAATTCAGTTAAGTAGGACATTGAAAATTTATCAATTTTAGGATAAATAGAGTAATGGAAGAGTATTTAAACAAATAAAAATTGAACTTTTGAGATTACCGAATAAATGTCCTACTTTTCTTTCAGGTGACATGAAAATATTCAAAGTCCATGTTGTTTAGATGATAAAGAAAATGAAATCCATTTGATTTAAGTTTTAATAGTGTTCCAAAAAACGTGTCTGGAGTGAATTTTTTTACTCCACTGTGATACAGTGTTTACTTGCTTATTCACAAATCAATCAAAATCAAACTGTTCGAGCACAGATAACCAATAATTATGAACCAATGGGTACACTGAGTATTCTAATGTCACTAAAACACAAATTAGAAAATAATAATGGATCTAAAATTGATTTAATTCAACTTAAGGTGAATCCGATTTATCCGGTTAAAAAATAAATTGAGATTTAAATTGATAAATTTCAATTGTTGATGACGTAGCTCTGACATCACTATTTAAAAATTTCCGAAGACAATTTTAAATTAAGATTCTTGTCCTGCGTAATTACAAAAATTTACATATGTTTTTATAGAGTATTACGATTAACATTATAAAATCGTTTTAATAATTTTTCATAGATGGTGTTGAAAATCAGCAAAATTAAATTAAGTTTATCAAACTAATGTCGATTAAAAAATTAAGTAAGATTATCTCAATTTATTTTTTAACCGGATTCACCTTTAATTAAAAGAAAGAATCGTTCTCGAATCAATTTTGATACGTTTTATAAGGTAAATCAGTGCCATCTCTAGTCTGTAATATAAACGTTTTCCGTTAACTTTGTATCATATGAATGGTAATTACTATTAATTAGTCAAGTTTTAACTTTATCTTCTTGTTCCATTTATTATTACCAATATTTACTTAAAATCATTACTTTTCTTGTGAATATTGTTTGTATTTTTAATTAATCGATTGTTAACCAATTTCGAAGTTTTTACATGAAATTATTAAATAGTTCAAGTTATTTATTTTCATCTTCTGGCTTAGCCTTTTATGATTCAACTGGACAATAACAAATTTTACAAAGTGCTGTCAACTTTTACTGGTTCACAACAAATTTTTGTATCATTCAAACCAATAAATCTTCTTGACCAATTGGAGATTCTATTCCAGATGTTCCGGACTATTGATGGAATGGGTATTTGCTCTGAAATTGGAGGAACAACCTCTTCTCCTGGCGGAATTCCTTCTGTTGTTGAATACTCTGTTGAATCCAAATTGGTTGGCGCCGCTCGTCTCTGGATATCTCCTAAAAGTTGACTCATTCGAGTTAGTTCCTCTTGATAGTCTACTCCACCTCGAAGTATCCGCTCAGCTGTTGATTTGGCTTGTTCAACTGATATAGCTGTCTCGTTGGTTGATACTTCTCTTAAATATTGAAGTAAAATGTACAAAATATTAACATAAAAACGAGTGATTCCTCCATAAGCTTCTTTCACCAATCTTGGTAACACAGTTAAATCTAAAGCCACTGGTCCTGAGATCTTTTCGTCATTATCAACTCCATTGATATTTCCATTGGCATTATTAGAGTTGATATTATTTTCGCCATTCTTAATTTCATCTAACTGTCCAGCAATTGGTGAAAAAAGTGTTAAAATGAAAACAAACCAAAAAACGAAAATCAACTTTTCCATTGTGGGTGTTTTATGATGAACAATACGAAAAGACTTCACAGTAAATCTAACACAACAATCTCGACGGCAATTAGTAAATGAATAATTCTGAAAGCATGAGAAATTGACTGAAATGTCGCTAACTGTCGTGATGTAAGTAATCAAATTGATTATGCTGATTTATCACCAGCATAATGCTGGTTGAATTTGCATTGTCAATATTGTGAAATGAATAACCGGAAAAATTGGAATCTATTTCAAAATAATCAGCTAAACTAGATCATGAATCGTCAATATGAGAAAATTTGACTCATTTTTATCCGGCAAATTTCAACTTTGCCATCCAATGGTAATTAAATCAAGAAGAAAAATTGATTTACTTTCACCCGCATGATTGTAATGATACTTAACTGAAATGTTTGCCGATTTAATTTGCTTTTTGCTGAAAACTTCACAGCTCAACAACAGTTTATCCTTTAGCTTAACAACTACAATTAACTACTTTTTGTTACAATGATTTCGTCTAAATTAATTGTCATCTCTCTTCTTGTTACATTTACCTTGGCTTTCCAGTCACCAACACCTTCACCAGTAGGTTTACCTCCGGCTGATTTGCTTGAAGATTTACGTAAAATAGCTGAACAGATAACCGGTGATCCTGAAAATTTGGAAAAGCTAACCCAACAGTTGAAACAACTGTCAGCTAACAACAAGAACCTAGCCAAGTTGATTGAAGAGCAGATGGGTAAGTTTATCTTGAAATTGTTCATAACAGATTTATGATTAACTAGATTATTATTTTTAATCTCACTGAAGCCACCGCAAAACCAGTCCAAGAAGCGGATAAAAAGGCACCAGGACCACCTCAACCAGGAAGCAACCCATTGGTATCCATTCAAGCCCGAATCAATGCATTTGTTGAATCAATGAACCAATTTTTCACCAACATGAGAACAATGTTTGAACGAGTTCCAATTCCTGACAATGCCAGTATCAACCCACTCAAAGCAATTCAGTCAATGGAAAGTCAATTTCAAAATATGTTCGAGAGATTCAGAAACAACAATCCTTTGGCTATCGGTCTTACTGGCCAGCAAGAGGTTGGTACTAATAATGTTCAGACCGAATCTAACAAAGACAAAGTTTCGACTTATTTTTAATCTTCATTAAAACATGATCTATATTTTATACGATAAACGATTTGGTGATCTTTTTTCTTGAGTGTTCTTGTTGATTCCTTGAACAGATTCATATTTAAATATCGTAATAAGCGGTTTTTGTAAAACAGTAAGTATTTCAATTTATCAATAGTAAAAGTATTGTAAAAGGTGTTAGGATTTTATATTGATCAATACAAATTACAGCAAAAATAGACAATCTTGTAGTTCCTCTAATATTAGCCTTTTTAATCATGAGCTATATTATCAGTTTAGTGCTACAATTGTCTGAATGTAAGCGAATCAATCAATTAATTAATTAATTTTTATCATAATGCGTGATTGTATTGTAACCTTCAAAGCAAATTATGTGCACTTACTCATTTTTGTGAGTTATGATAGATTTGTTTGTAATTAAATGTTACAATTTTGCCTGAACAGATTAGTAACAATCAAACTCAGGAATATTTTGAGATATTAAATTTAAATAATAGCTGCAAAGCTCTAATAATTATGAGTATTATTAATCAAATTAGTGACAAGAAATGATGCAAATGAAAATGAAGTTTACATTTGGAAATGAGACAGAGAATCGGGCGGTTTTACAAAGGAATGGCCATTTTTTGAAGCTTTCTGTAAGTAATCCTCCAGGCTTGAATTCACAGGAAATAAAGAGACCGAGAGTTTAACTCTAGACTTGTAAGTCAATCCTTGAGGTTAATCTGAGAGATAATCGCGACTTAAAGTGTTTCTCCAGTTGAAACATGAATAATTTAAACGAGGTTTTCGGCTGAAAATGGGTTCTCACTGCTATAAGGGCAACAAAAAAGGTAAAAGTGACCAATTATCACAAGATGGTCACCACCGCTAAAGCTTGATTAGATAGAAAAACAAATGTTCCTCCAAAGATGCAATAAAACTTTCATTTCCCATGAAATTGAAGTAAGTCATCTTAAGATGAATCCTCTCACCCTCCCACCAAGTAACGAGTAACCTTGCTTTTGTCACCCTTTGCCACCTACATCAAGTACTAGAACATTAACAATAATTTACAAATTATTGGTGCCCTTTTTTGCGAGAAGAGGACCAGAAAATGCATGCACAAATTATTGTAGCAGAAATAATAACAATAATAATAACGTCAATGATGATAATATTGATGATAATGTAATGAAGAGAGAGAGAAGAGAGAAACGCTTGTTTCCTTTCATTTTGCAGTAGGAACCAGTAAAGTCACTTTTTCCCTTCGCTTTATTGGAGGCTTGTTGATGATGTTGATTGATACTTGAGATAACACTAAATACAATTGTATTTAAGTGATCTTGATCTTGGAGTGTGACCTCAGCCACGGAGGCAACCTCACCATCGCGGGCATCTTCTTCATCATTATTATCCTCATCATCTGATTCAGTAAGAAACGAGTAAGTTTGAAGAGAGAAACAGGGAAGCAAAAAAAGATAATCTCCTTTTCAATGGCCTGGGAAAGTAGCGCTCATCATTTTTGTCATCCTCGTCTCGATATCGTCATCTTCACAGTCACCACAGTGTTTCCATTGATTCATAGCCATCAAACAATTGTTGTTATCAGCAAATTGATTTCTGAAAGTAGAAGAAAAACTTCCCAGGATCATCTGTAAAAACACTTTTAGTTCAATAAAATAAACTTTCATTGCGTTGCATGTTGATGTTGTCTTACATCGTTCTGTATAAACCAAAAACCAACAAGTCACCAAAAAGTAAATGAAGACAAGAAACTAATGTTAATTACTAGCAGACAACACATGGAAAGGATTTAATTTTAACAATTAGCGGCCAAAACAATTGGGTGATAATTTGTAGAGCTAACAAAAAATGAAACAAGAGCGACAAGTCATAACTGTCACCTAAGTAACGAGTTGAAAAGAGAGGGAAAACATTGAAAGGCGCTTAGCTTGAATGGATTTAAAATTGAGTTTCAGTAGCTAATCCAATTTTCGGCAACCCGTTGAATCTAACTCGGTCAACCTTTGTTTATGTTGCTGATAAACTGTGTCCAGTTTATTACCGACTGTTGATTTACCAATTTAAACAGTGATTAGCCTTTAAATTTCCCTAAAAAAAGGTCGGGAAAATTGAAAGATGAGAAAATGCTTCGGGTTAGTTACTGTTATACAAAAGAGGATGATGATGATGAGGAAAAAAATATGGACAAGGAAATAAAAAGAAGATGAATATTAATGAATGATGATGAAGAGGATTGAGGATGAAGATAAAAATGATGAGCACGCGGCTAATATTGTTAAATTGGATCATTTTATGGACTATTGACTCGCAATTAACCACATAAGATAGACTCTTATTTTTAAATGGACAATAATGTATATTGAAATTATTATCATTATCAAAGTGAAAGGTGATGAAATATCATGTTATCCTCCTATTTAATCAGTGGACCCTGTAATAACAACAAAAACAACATCAACATCACCAAATAATAGTAAAAAAATAATGCTTTAAACAGTAATGATTGTAACCTCTTAAAGCCTCCATTTAAGGTAACTGTTAAAGCAAGTTAAGTTGAGGTCGAGCAATAACTTTAAATTGTAATGTTACCATTATTATTGTAAATTGAATACTTATATGATCATTCAACTGTACTCGAGCTATCGGTTAATGGTTAACATTATGTACAACAATGACCAAAGTGTTAACAATTTGACTTAAATATGTTTTTGCTTTGACATGAGACCAAAAAGTGTCTCAAGTTGAACAATTTACACTTGAATTGTTATTATTATTATAACATTTCTCATGGGATGCTAGATTTAAATACATTAATATCTATTTTAATCAAGTGTAATGCCAAACAAAAACAAATGACAATTAATTGTCTGGTTAGTTTTGTGTGTGTTTTTTGTTCAGTCTGTTGAGTCGCTTTTTTAATCCAAGTCTATTCAACTGAACAACAAAATGTCACCCTCAAAGTGTATATAAATTACATGATATGAAGCTTATTCATGTTATCCTTGATCATTGATCATCATCATCATCATCATCCTCACCATCTTCATCATAAACATCATCATCATCTTCATTATCATTTTTCATCTCTCTGATCAACTTTCATTTTTCATTTCACTTGTTACACCAAAACTCAACCATTTGTTTGCCTATGTTTTCCTATGAAAGTCTTGTTATTATCATTTTTGCTCTTCTTTTTTCACCGCATTTCCCATTCTTACCAATGATCCTTCAGGAAACAAGTTTAATTGAAATAAATTAATCTTAATTGAAGTCAATTGAAGATGATTAAATGATGCAACAACGTGTTACAAGGAAAAGGAGAGAAAGATGAAGATGATGAGGATGAAAGCATGAGAAGGAAGGCAAAGAAACTGTTATAGTAATCATCATACTCTTAATCATCATAATATTCATCACAAGAAATCATCATTCCAATGGTATCATCCTATTCTCATCATCACAAGAACCATTATCATCTTCATCTTCATTCTCATCTTCTTCATCTCTCACCAAAGGCTCAGCCCTAAAATAGGACACTTTTTGACGCATGCTTTTACTCAGCCTTTACAAGTAAAATTATAATATTATTATTAGTTGACAATTTTAGTTGAACCTTAATTTTACAATTAAATTCACCATTGGAAGCACAATTAAAAACTCAACAATTAACATGCAACAATTTAATTAAAACCATTTCTTTCATTTCAACGTCAGTCACAGTCCAGGTCTTGTTGTTTATGTTTTTCTTGTGCAGCCAAAGTGCCTCTGATAGGATCAACTAAAACAGTTGCTCTGCTACTTTTCACATTTTCACACATTAAACCTTTATGACATTTTGCATCTTATTATTAATATCGTTGGTATTATTGTTATTAATATTAATATTATTAGTTAAATTGGAGAGATTTGTCTTTTTAATTGTAATTGTTAGTTATATATTACAGAGTCACAAAAACATTTACATTTCAATCATAATCAATTTGGTAATTATTAGACTCTATTGGTTTGCATTTACCAGACAAATTATTGACTTTAACAATAAAACCAATTTTTTACTTGTTCAGATTAACAATCAATTCTGATGATTGAAATGGTTTAAATCAGAGTTTATTTTTCACCTTTCAAACATGCAATTCATTGAATACAAATGAGCAATTGAAGTTAATTTCAATTCCTATTTTACGACAATAAAGCTAATTTTTAGGTTGCTTTTTTGATAGCTTTTGTTTCCTTGTTTTCAAGGAATTCCCATGAAAAATGAATTATCCTTCCATCCCTAAGTTGGTTGAAAGTTAATAACTATTTCTTGGACTTATTGCTTGGGCTTCTTGAAATTGCGATTCAAGTAAACTCCTGAAGGCAGAATTGACATTTACTTTGAAAGCTAGATTTAAATTGTTGATTTAATTTAAAAGTTTATATAATTTTATATTCACAAGCATCTAAATGAGAATCAATGATTTTGATTGTTTCATATCTTTAAATCAAAAAAGTTTAAGTGTGTGAATATAACCGAGAAGTGAAAAGGAATCTGAAAAGCAAAATATCAACATTGTAAAGGTTATGTTGGGTTGAAGTTAACATTGTAAGTTATCAATATTTAGATATCTTAGTTTGATAATCAAAGTATCAATGATGCACAATTAGTTATCAGATGGACAATTTAACTTATGGGAAGTTAATCCGTGGGAGGATGAGGATGGAGTGTGAGACATACAAGATGATATTAGACGTTAAATAACATCCCAAAGTATTGGAAACCCAAAAAAATAACAATTATTATTGATGTTCAATCAGATTATTGGCCATTTAAAAACAAAACTGTGACTTGATAATCGGGACACGTGAATCTAATTGAATACATGTAATACAAGTATATGATCAAGAAATAATCAAGAAATAATGTCAAAAATGAAGACAGTTAATGCATCATAAAATGATTGACCGAAAGACAAGGAATGAAAATATAATGCGATGTTATTGTAATGTAATGTTGAGGTTAAAACAAAAAAAGGTTGAAAACAATGAAATGATAATTATAATGGTTAATAATGTCCATTGATTCGTGAATGACTGATCATTATGATTAAGGCTTTCAACTGGATATTGATTGGCCTTTGGTTATGCAAAATTATCTTGTGCTAAAGATGAGTTGTAAGTCAGTTTTAAGTATTGTGAGTTATTGTATGAAAAAAAGCAAGGCTGTGTAAAAAGATGGTAAACGTTAACAAAACATCGGACAAAAGACGAAGATCGCGGAGAAAGAAAGGTCGAAAGGGAAGATAGGAATGGAGGAGAGAATGAGGGAGAATGACTTGGGAAGATGGAAAGAGAAAGAAAGAGAAAAGAGAGACAAGATTTGAAGATGTGTGGCAGTGTCTAGGAGGAGTTTGATCTTAGGCCCTATATAAACAGTCAATGTCATCTTGAAATGGTAATATTTTACAATGAGTATTACCATGAGTAAACACGTTATCGAGCCCAATGGTACCAATACAAGTACTGCTAATGGAAACTTGAATGGTACAAATGGACCTTCAAAGAAAAAAAAGACACGGTAAGTTCAACTGTTGCTTTATATCTTTTGCTTTAACCTTTTGTTTTAACCTTTTGATTCATTAGGTTTTTTCCGTTACATAAGTTGCTTGTCATTTTTGTTGAAAATTTTTCTCTAACCTTTTTCTCTAACCTTTACCTTTTCTTTTTCATTTGGTGGTCTTATTTTTAGGACAACTTTTACAGGTTTTCAATTGGAAGAACTTGAATGCACCTTATCCTGATGTTTTTGCTCGTGAAGAGCTGGCTGAACGGTTAAACCTTAGTGAGTCAAGGGTTCAGGTTTGGTTTCAAAATAGACGAGCAAAATGGCGTAAAAAGGAGCCACCGAGGAAATCATTGTCTCATGTTGCCTTAGGTGCTAATGGTTTGCTTACGTTAACTAAAAGTTTATTAAGTCAACCTCAACCTCAACCTGCTGCTTATCCAACTGGTCAACATTTGTCGACGACAAATCCAACTGGTCAATCATTGCAGCAACAACACACACAACAGCATCAACAATCATCTCAACAGCAACAGCAGCAACAACAGTCACAATCTCAATTGCAACCACAAACACTTTCACCTTCACACCAACAGCAACACCAACAGGGAAGTCCACAACATTCAACATTTGATAAGCTCATTTGTTCACCTTCATTTTCGCCTACTGGTAACATGTCATTAAATCAACCTCACCATTTACACCATCATGCTTATGTACATCATCATCATGCACAACAACAACCTCATCATCATCAACAACAGCAACCACAGTCCCAGCAACAGCAACAACAGCCTCAACCACAAGCTCAACAACTTGCACCTTTACATACTCAATCACTAGCAGGTACTAGTTATACATCTTCAATTCACAATGGTTCATTTGTTAACCATACGGACTCCAATTGTGTTAAATCGGAACCAAATGAATCAATTTATTCAAATTATGACTTTCCTGGAATGTATTCTGCTCCTGATTACATGGCTCCTAGCCATACCTATTACCTATCCTCTGAACCGTATGAAATGCTGGAGCAAACTGAGATTCATAATGTTAACGTTAAATTGGAGTTATAATTTGGAAAATTGGAAACTGGATTCACTTTCATTCAAAGTTCATTTACAAAATCATTTCATTTTTACATTTTTCAATCTATGCTATTTTTTCGAAAATCTTGTACATTAGTTGAAATTATTATTTCAAACAATAGCAACTTAATCATACACAATTCCCATCTTAAAGCTTCTTTTTATTTACACTTATATCAAATATAGTCTTTTGTGTATTATAAACATGAAATTATTACATATAAAATAACCCAAATCCAACAGATTGATATTGAATCGATCTCATGGTTTATTCAACTGGAAGCGTGCCTAAAAACTGATAAGAAACAAATGAATAAATTAAGAAAATTTCTTAATTTCTAAATCTTTTGATCTATCAGTCCAATTATTGTCTTGATAACCTTTATCCTCTTTTATTAAACTTAAATTTCAACCTTTATAAGAATCACCAATTTTTTTTGTTACATCTTTTTTGTATAAATCGTGAATATACAGTTTTAATCAATATTAAAATCTACAGCCAATTCAACTATCAATGTCTAGCTAAATCATTCTGAAACTCTCTTCTATTTATTCCAGCAATGTTCATACTTAAGTAAATCATCTTTTCTAAATCTGAATTTCAATGGAAAATGAAATCAACTTATAACTGTTAAATATGCTAACCCATACACATAATTGAAAGATCGGTTATTATTGAAGTCAACACACAATTAGGAGGGATAAGATAATGATTGAATCTCTACCTTTTACTTTGCTTGATACAATTTAGGTTAAAATAGTGATCCAGTGAAACAATTGCATGATTGGGAATTCCTGGTGCACATAGGGGCTCTGGTAGTTATACTTATTGATGAGAGAATCAATTTTTCAGTTATTGTTAATCCAAAATGTCGATTATTACAGTATCATTCACATTGTTCATAATTTCCTCTTGTTTTACAGTAAACCACAGTGAAGAATCTTTTGAACCACCTGTAAGTCCACCAACCGAGGAAGGCAACATCATTGACAGAATATTATATGAATTGTTTTTAAACAATCTACTAGTTTCTACATTAAAGTCAATTAATCGTCGAATTGTTGACGCTTTTGTTGAATATGAGTTTTATCGCATTTTAGTGAGCCTGGGTAAACTGGTTCGTCGTAATGGCACAGACAGTGGAGGTAACACAACACAAAGGCCATTAAACTTTAATATATCATCAATTGCTGATTTAACTCGACCATTTAATCCGAATATGACTGCTTATGCAGATAACACACCACAAAAAATTACACCGCCGACGGATATATTTCTCGCTAATTATTAAAAACAAACAAAGAAACAGATGTGTCTTGAAAGACACTTTAACGAGGATAAACAAACACTAAAATTACTTCTTTGTTATAGTGCTCATAGTGGACCAAATATCAAATTGTTGGATTGTTAAACTAATGTAATGATTTTAATTTGTGAAAATTGAATAAAGTACAATTCAAATAAAAGTAAAATGAAATTTATTAATCATTTAATAATCTAATAAAATACAAATTTTCAACTTATTAAAATTTCGTTTTCAATTTTGGCGCATTTAATATTATGGTAACCGTTGCTAAGTCTTCCATGCGCTCCAATCTTTGTTATTTTCCTACTTTTGACCCAAATGTTCTTTGCTTTAAATATTTTTATTTACTAATTTCGGTGTTTTTTTTGTTTCTTGCCGACATTTCATTAAACTAAATTATCTATGATCATCTCGAAGGTATCTTATTCAAGGTATTTTTCTTGTTGTAATCTACTGCAACAGTTAATCAAAAATGATCCCATAAAAAGCGGTCTTTATCGTAGTAGAGTTAGTATATCATCTTCAAATCGATCATCCCAGTCAACTCCATCTTTAAATTATCAAAACGATGTGTTACCGGTTAATTCATCTGCTAGTTCGTCGGTAATTTCTGGTGAACTTTGGCCAAATCTGTTATTCACTGATGATACTTGGTCTGATGTGGATGAAAATGGAGATGAGAGGTTCAATAAGTTATCCGACACAGCTTGGGATTCAGCTGAACCTCATGAAACAACAATACGAAATTTTTCAACGTTTCATTTACTTTTTACTTCTCCTTATCGTGATAATATGATCAAGATTATCTCGGAAGAGTTAGATCTAGACCACTGGCAAGCTGATGTTTACCTCAACTTTCTAAGAATCAAACCAGTTTTAATCAGATTTGATGAGATTCGATTCATCCGGGATAGACGAAATTTACTCAGATTATTGAAAACCCATCTTTCAAAAAGAGATATTGTTGATGCATATGAATTGTTTCTTTTAACACTGAGAGCTGCTCATTTCAGAATAACTTGTCTCAAAGAATGTGGATTCAAATTCATCAAGCCAACTCATTTATTGAACTTTAAAAAGATTCTTGGATCAAGTGAAAACGTACTTAAACACTTGAAATTGCTCGATACTGATGTTAACGTGGTTGACTCTCTGCTATCAAATTTACAAGGTTTGTCTAATCAAGAAACTAGTCAGCTCCGAGAGGAATTAACCAGTCAAGGATTGTTGCCGTTAAGTAAACAATATGCAATAGTTATTTCTTTCGTGTTAAACAAAACTAAAGATACCGCACATCTTAGCAAGTCTGCTCATCATTCTCGTTACCTTACTATCAAGGGATTGAATATTCTAGCCAAAATGTTTAATGACTATTCTCTAAATGAAAGTTATTCGCCAAGTGACTTGGGGTCCCTCTATGAAGCCGATCCACATAATCTGGAACTCATATTAAACGAAGTACCAAAGAAATTTGATGAAAGCACTCTGCTTTTTTTATTGAAGTATCCAAAAATCCTTCATACTTACTCATCAACACTTACTGATAATCTTTTGCTTCTGAAAAATACCTATGGTTTTACAAATGAAGACATTGATAACCATGCTAATTGTTTGATGGTTGAAACGAATGATTTGAAGTCAAGAATTGAAAATTTGGCTACAATATTTGGTCGCCCAAGTCGTCTCATGCTATCCCTTGTTCATTTTGACATTTCCGAATTATCAGATTTGCTTCACGAGATGAAAGTGAATGGTTTCCCGTGTTCAGATGTTGACTCTGTTCATAAATATCGTTCAATGACAATTAAAAAAGCAAAATTATACCCTGGCATGGTACCTGCTCATCTTAGAGGTTTAAACCGGGAACTGGGAATTCCTCAATCAATCATTTTACGGACATTTCATAGGCATCCTCATTTTCATCTAACCGATAACCATAAAATCAAACAGACTTTAAATTATATTAGAAATCTCGAAGGAATCACCGAAGAACAGGTATTAAATGGATTAACTTTGTGTCTTTATGATACGGAAAAAATAAAGGAAGCCTTGGAAATCATGAAAGGACGAGATGATTATGAAGAATGGAAAAAACATCCATTCTTTTTGGAATCATTGGTGTACATGATCGAAAAAACCTACTCATTTGAAGATATTTTAACTTCTGGTGGATCCGGTTTAAATACTGTAAATGGTTATTCTAATGAAAGTTGACACTTGGATTCTCTTACCTAACCATTCTATCCGTTCAAGCCAAATTGGAAGACGATTACAGTGTTGATCATTAACTGTATCTATCAGTCTTCTGGTCAATCAAGCAATCTCACTGTAGATTCTATTGTCTTTAACTTGGAAAACCTGTTTAAATAAATAAGCCTGTAAAATGTTGTGTCATCAGGTAATCCGACACTGATATATTTTTTCCAATGATACATGAGCTGTACTATCGAAGTTTGATTACTTAGCGGTTTAATAATTCAGCTTAGATGGTAGTTCACGTTAAGTTCCTCACTTTTTGTCTAGCACCCATTTTTGTAATCAATTGAAACATGTATGATTTGAAAAAAATATTTGTACACAAATGAAAGTTTGTAATTTCAATCAATGTAATTGTTGAGAAAATTATATCATAGTTGTAGTATTAAGTTATGAAAAACTTCAAAGTTCCAGATAAAATCAATAATAAAAACTGAACATTTGCAATGCCAAATATCTTCAATGCATGATATTGCTAAATCTTCAAGAACCGATCAAGAACAATAACCTAAATGTACAAATGTTATTTATATCAAATTGCATTTTATCATTGAAATTGATTCTTACAATCAATAACTAGAATATTAGTCATTTTATGAAAGACCAATATAAACAATTGCTCCAACCAATTAGTTTGATTATTTGTTATAATTACTATTACCAAGCTATTCAATATACATAATTAAGTGCTCTGTCGGAGAACCGGAATTTCGTGAAAAATTGTGGTTTTATTCACTGGTCAACACATGATTTCCCAATTTATTGAAATGCTATTCTCCATTGTTACTCAACCCTATCTCAGGTAAATTGATTTCATGATTTCACGGTTAAATGAACTCAATACTAATTCATGATAAATTTTTCATCTACATTACAGACTATTCCAATATTGTAAGGTTAAACACATTGATTCTCAAATGACCTGATTTCTTGGTTGGTTACAATTGCAAAAATCCAGTGAACAGGCAATGAACGGAATGGATTGTGACAAGATGATTCATTAATAAACCTGATGATTAGTTGAATCATCTTTAAACATTTAGCATTTTCATTGCCCACAAATGAAATCAAGAACCAATTCCAATCAAATAATGTCTCCTGGACTTGGGAAATGATTTATTATGGTATTCATGATATATGGCTGGTTAAATGATCAAGGATTCTGCATGAAATCATCTTCTTGAACGATTTACAACTAGATTGACGACAACCGCAAGACCAACATTTTATCGATCGTCTTTCCTTAAAATGTAAACTTTATTCAAAGTCTGACTTCCCTCTGTTATTTCCTTGACAAATACATGGCTGGAAATTTGAAAGAATGGTTATAACATTGAAATTAATTGATTATAATCTCCTATTATCCAGTATTATTTTGTGTTTTGCATTAAATGATCAGTGAAATTCAAACAAAGGAATAATTGTCATGAATGATAATGGAGATCAGCCCTTCCAAATGGCATGGAGAGAGAACAAAGCTTGGCTATGGATGAGTGGGTTATAAATACCACCCTCTATAACACCATACAAAGCGCGGTCAGCTTCGAATTTTCTGTTTACATGAGCATAAAATTCAAACGTAATTGTAATCATAAACATTTAAATATTGAGTTGTAAGAAAAGGTTGTAAGAAAAGGTTATATGATACATTTTTGTTAAATGATATCACTTGAGGCCCTTTGCAAGAGGGCAATTTGCGACAGTAAAGTTCACCCTAGAAATATTGAGCACATGAAACAATTCGGTACAGAAGTACGAAACGCTCCTGTTATTGGCATTTAGTCAGTTTTATATGGAAATTGTAAAGCTCAACTATTAATAATCGGTAATTCATTGGGTGAATTGAATAAACGTATGGTTTTTAATTCCTAAAAAATAGAGGAATTAATCAAATTGAATTGAAAATTAAAAAAGAATCATGATGATTAACGAGCAGAATCATGAGATAAGGAGGGGAGAAAGAGAGAGAGAAAGAGAATATCAAACGTAGATTCATTTTAGATTGAATTGGTTTTTATTTGGGTAAGACACTTGAATCATGGCTTCAGAAGAGGAAGCAAGCCGCAGAGAATGTGAGGCTTATGTTCAACGCCACGATATTCAAGGTATTATGAAGGAATGTATCGTTAGTTTATGTGTTAGCCGACCAGATAATCCAATTAAATTTCTCCGAGAGTATTTTCAAAAATTGGAAAAGGTCAGTACATTTATTTCTTTCTTCCTATTCAATCTATCTTTTCCATCTCTCTCTTATTTCCCTGTCTTCACTTCTCACCCTCTGTCGACTCTCTTTCTCTATGTCTTTCTTTCACCTCTGTCTTTGCCTTGTCTATTCCTTAAGACATTATTGATGTGGAAATAATTAGAGGACCATTACTTTAGGAAGGATAAAATAGAAATGAAAGGACCCAAAGTAAGATGAAAAAAGCATCAATAAGATGCAGGAGGAAAAACGGTTTATGTTGCCAAAAGTTAACCTTATTTTCTTGGTTGAAGATAAAAAAAACCATATAAGATTCACTAGCTTAACTATGCAGTTGACCCTGTTACCCAGATAAACAGGGTATCCATGTATATAAATATATATATTTTGATCCATGAATACTTTAATTTAATTTCTCCTCTTTTATTTTATATCGTTCCTTGTTTTAATTATTTCTCATTAATTTAACCTCATCATCATTATCATTCTTCTCATCATCAATATTTATACCTCTTATACTTCACCATATCATACCATTCAATAACTAACCTAGTCTGATAATAACCACCATTTTGGTTGTTTTCTTTTTTCAATTATTTCTTTTATACTGTGTTCATTATCACCATGGATGGCCAACCGACTGATCGTTCTGTACCTACCTCTTCAAAATCAACTACAACTACAACCACAACCACAACTTCATCAACATCAACGTCAACTGGCTCTATCAATGCTACATCATCTAATCCTTATGCTACTGAATTACAGGAGGAATCAATTATTCGTCGTCAGCAACAACAGCAACAACAGCAACAAAGTAAAGCACCAATATCACCGCCAGAGAAGATGATTTATCTCCTGTCCCAACCATTGCTCAAAGGACTAGGCGTGGTGCAGTAAGCGCTGAAACGTATTCAGAAGAAGATGCCACAACCTATGTAAAAAAGGTTGGATCATATTAATAATCTACACAATTGAAAATCAACAAGGCAAAAAGAAAATGCTTGTCAATTATGTGTGCACGTTATCAAATGTGCAATAATTGCTTAATATGAGATGAATCAGTTAAGATCGAGAGTGAATCATTCTCAGGCAGAAGTAAACAATTCTCTCTCCCTCTTGACTTGTCTCTCATTTGACCTGGATATCAAAATTATGATTACAATGCCTGGATTTGATTTGATTTATTTTAATTTTTTTTATCCATTACATTATTCTCAACTAATACTTTTTTTCGTATCTCGTTCTATGTTTTCTTTATGGATACTTACTTCGTCGCCATCAGGTTGTTCCCAAAGACTACAAAACGATGGCTGCCCTCTCCAAAGCTATTGAAAAAAATGTCCTGTTTAAACATCTGGATGAAGGAGAAAGAAGTGAAATCTTCGATGCAATGTTTCCTGTTGTTCACAAACAAGACGAAATAATAATTAAACAAGGAGATGAAGGAGACAATTTTTATATCATTGATGAGGGAGAAGTCGAGGTAAATTGATTGCAATCAATTAAATTAATTGAAGATTTACTATAATTTGCATCGTATAAAACTCCAATGAGATATTCTTACCTTCAGTGTATCCCTCTATTCGCCAAAAACAACCATGATTAATCAAGGACATCTCAGTCTCTCAATAATTTTCTGTCTTTTTTCGCATGCTTTCCTTACCTCTGTCTATCTATTTTCAAGCTTCTTTCTTTTTTTTGTTTACTACAATCACATTAATCTCCTTCAATTCAATTCTTTCCATTTCTCTTCCACTGCTATATTTCCATACATGGTTCCGCATCTACTTTCCCCTCTTGCTCTGATCAAAATTCACTTTAAACTTATAGGTCAGATTGATTGATGTAAAATCAAAATTTTAAATTTTCTAGCTTTTAGATGCGTTTTGTTGATTTTGAGTTGCATAATTAGGTTCTACGATACTTTTAGCCTCAATTTCACACAATTTACTCTAATTTATTTCCCATACCTTAAAATTTTGCTAGATTTCAATATTCTCTGTAATGGTTTTGAATATTTTCTCACGTTTTATCTGTTCTTTTTTTAAATAGGTATTTGTTAACAATAATCTAGTAACAACCATTGGGGAAGGCGGAAGCTTTGGAGAACTAGCGCTCATCTATGGTACACCTAGAGCTGCTACAGTTAAAGCGAAAGTAGATTGTAAATTATGGGCCATAGATAGAGACACATATCGTCGTATCCTTATGGGTAGTACTATTAGAAAGAGGAAATTATATGAAGAATTCTTGAACAAGATTTCCCTGTTTGGTAAGTTATCACTTGACAACAGGAAAAAAGAAACTAAAGACATTGAAAGTGAACGTTCAGAATTGTTTATTGTTTTCGATTGTTCTCTAATTTCATTTTTTCTTTCTCTTTTTTTTCATTATTATTTCCTTTTCATTTAAACTCTCATCTCATTATTGGAAACACTTCAACAATCGCTGTTCAACTCATTATCCCTCTTATCAAAATCTGACTTGAACCACTCACAGAGAGCCTCGATAAATGGGAAAAGTTGACCATTGCTGACGCTCTTCAGCCAGTCACCTACACTGATGGTGAGGTTATTGTTGAACAAGGTCAACCAGGAGATGATTTCTATATTATTGAAGATGGTATAGCGATTGTATACCAACGTCGTGTGGACAATGAGCCCCAAACTGAAGTTAGCAGACTTGGGCCAGGAAAATATTTTGGTGAGATTGCTCTTCTTTTGGATCGACCTCGAGCAGCTACTGTTGTTGCTAGTGGGCCGTTAAAGTGTGTCAAACTGGATCGTGCTCGATTTGAAAGACTTCTTGGACCTTGTTCTGATATTCTAAAGCGCAATATGGAACACTATAATTCGTTAATTTCATTATCTGTTTGAAATTTTGTTTTTTGCAAAGTTTTATTTTGAGAAGGAAATTGAGATAAAACAGAACAGTGTAATGTAAAAGTTAATATGGAAGGATATAAAAGGTGGCAACATTAACATGAACAACAACGTCAAAAATTAACTTCAACTACAACCAAGTTATTAGTATCATCACAAAACAAAACCATAACTAAAAACGAAAGACAATGACCACTATAGATGGCCAACAAAAATTGCTTTAAAAAGGAACAAGAATCATGATAAATTAAGAAAATCCAGGCAATTGTGAGGTGACAAGAATACTGTGAAAAAAAAGTTTAACAAGATCTCAAAAGACGATTTGCAGATCATGAAATTGATTGACAATTACCAAACAAACAAATATCTAAAACGAACCTACGCATCATTAAAGCCTGAGAATTACAAAAATACCCATTCTACCATCTCCACGAAATTATAAGGAAAACAATTGGACAAGCTCGTTACAAATTCACACAAGACACTCTATAAAACACAAAATACGCTTAAAACTAAACGCGCATCCCATTGAAACAAAAAACAATTATCCAAGGCTCAACAGTGATTAACGTCAAACTATGAGCTCTTCTCATGTCCTATTATACGCTTTTAATTAGCATATCGCTCTCTCTCTCTCTTCCTCCCCTTTATCTTCATTTTCTTCTCTCTTTATCTCTCTGTTATTGTTGTTAAATTACTCCTTAGTTTGTAGAAAATTGAAGATTGTTCTCTTCGTTTAACCATCTTTTATTTTCTGTATTCTCTTGCTGTGTTAGGTCTTTCGTTGCGTATTCTTCGTCCTCCAAACTTCAATCATTACAATGGGACAATGACTAACTGAACATCTTCCCTGCCATCACTTCAACTTTTCCTCCTTCTCTTCTTCCTCTCTTCTTTCCTTCATTTCTCTCGCAATCATTAAGCACTCCAACATCAAGCAAATATAAATGTAACTTCACTAGTCTCATGTTTTCTGGTATCTCTTGGGATCACACCAAACATTACTGTCTCAACCCATTGTTACCAACATAACGCAAATTCGTTCGGTCATACACAACAAAAACAGAAATGGAATTTAAAAATTCAACGATCCAATTTATATTAATCAATTAGACAACCTATCTAATCAACTTGTACTTGAAAAAAACAAGTTGATATTGAATATGAAGAAAAGTCGGTTATGATGAGTTAAAAATCATGTAATATTCAATGTTTCATTCGGGTTAAACTTGCTACGGTTTAACAATGGATATATTAATGAATTCTTAATAATAACTGTTGAATTTTACTGTCAAACGTTTTGATTTACTTATTACAATGCTGTATTACTCACGTGTAGTCAACATGGTAAAAGCATTATCAATATTTACACAGGAATAGATGTATTATCATCCTGTTTATCGCCAATTATTGGTTTTGGGAATCTTTTTCGATCCATTGATATCACATTTAATGATAACTCCTAATGAGTTTTTAGCATCTTTAGCTTTAAAACGCAGTAATTTATATTGCAACAAGACGAATTATTGATTATCTTACAATTGAATGTTTCAATGATTACTTGAGGTTAGCTTTGATCCAAAATCAGTAGACTTGAAGCGTTGCTTGAAATTAATTTAAACATTTGCTTATTTGCTGTGACTTTCACAACAGTCAAATTACTGGTTTATTTAATGTTTTCATCTAATTGTTGAAATCAGATCATTATTTGAGCCTTAACCTTTGAAGGATTTACTTAGGTAAGTTTATTGATTCACTTTGATTAAATGTTTGGTTGTTGGGAAAATTTTACTTCAACATTAATAATGTACACATTGGAAAGGTTTTCAAGTGAAATTTACGGTTAAATTTGTTTTGTTTTGTGTTCTCGATTATCATTCACTTTTCCTTTTGAATCAAATTTATAAATTACTTTGATTGTCGGTTGAGATGACTAAGCGGTTAATTACTATTGTTTAATTGTCTTCATTATTCCCTCAGATTTGGATACTTTCAGTTGAACACTTGATTTCAAAACAGAAGAGAGACTTTCCCATTACTGTGAAGATTATTTTTTGATTTATGTGTTAGATCATACATTTCATGATCTGGACTTCTAAATCCTCTAAATGACAATTTGTATAATATCCGAACTGATTGGTAATAGCTAGACGTAAATAAGGGTTGCATGTTACGGATGAAAATCTAATTCTGTGTGATGCTACTCTCATGATTCATATTTGATCTCTATTTTGGGCTCCACGAGTTTCTATGAAACTTTAAATAATTTGTTAGATTGACTAGATTATTGGACGTTAATAGATCATCTTTTAAATAGATCAAATTTTGTGAGTATCACTCAAAAATAAGCAGTATTATGTAAATAAACAATGCAGTGAAATTGGTTCGATTCCATTATTACCAGAAACAAGAAAGCAGCTCACAGTTGGAAATATAAAGCTGCAGATTCAATAGACCCAATAATCAGCTGATCAGCATGAAATTACAACTTCAGTTACTAATTTTGATGGCGATAATTGAGTTGAGTTGACTTAGGTAACTTGCGAACATGGAAATATTACGATAACTCCAAAGCTCTGATGAAAAAATGATCAGTGAAACTAGACTGTAGCTTGGATTACAATCAGCATCTTAAAAGCAAATGAACATTCCGGTTAAGGTTGTGTTGACATCTAATTTCGGTTATCAGTTAATGGTAGAATCTAATTATAAGCATTAATCATTGGCTTTTGATGATTTCTAGTATGATTATTAATGATGAGTAACCAAAGTTAATCACTGCAGATGAGGTGGTGAATTAAACTTGACACAATTTCAGTTTGTTGATTGCACATTTTTAAATATTTTTTGGGATATACACAAGATTGAATCAAAAATCAATGAAGAATAATGGGTTACGTAATGGTTAAGCCTAAGGGAATAGTTCATAAATAATATCACAATCATGTTTACAGCTCATCTCTTTTTTGTTCGTTATCACCACAAACAGATTAATTAGAAATATTGATGATAAATAAACACAAACAACAAATCATGATAGATCCAATTAACCAGTTCTTTATACAACTTTGCCTGGTTTTGGATAGTTTGGTTAAACAGCTCACTTTTTTGTATCTATTGTCACTATTTGATTTCTTATCTTCAGTATAAAGACGATTAGCTAACATTTCCAATCTTCTAGTCTTTCAACCTCACTTCCACTTTCAACTCTATTACTAATTAACCTTTGTGTCATCAACAAATGTTTGGCCGCCAAACCGATTCTTTGAATATACCATTAACCCTACAATTTATGATTCTGGTTTTACCTATTAGTAATAAGCTAATAGATTGTTGCTTCTTTTATCCTTCATTTTTAACCGTCCAGCTATTCAATACTGGCAGTTTTATTCGCCTTTCATCTCTTTTTTCACCCGATTATTCATACATCAACCTTTTCTAATGATAACCATTCTAGTCTCTGGCTATTTGATCATTTTTGCATGTAAAATTCAACACTCCAGTTGAGCCAGTTTCAATTTGTTTGATCCAAATTTTAGCATCTTCATAGTTCTCGTGATCTCATCGAGATAAATCCTTTTTAAATTTTGTTTTAATCAATTTTATTCTCTTTCGTAAAATATCCACCATAAAATGGCCGACGAAAGCCATGCTCATCACCATCATCATCATCACCATTCTCATCCTCACCATCATCATTATTATGATCATTCACATCATCACTTAACCCATCCTCATCATCATTTTATTCGTAGCAGTGGCTCTGTGGATCTTGACCCAATTGAAGTAAGTCTAAAACCATTGAAAGATATCAACATTCACTAACAAAATTCAAACTTTGACTTGTCTTGAAAGTCTTGCAATCATGTTGAAAGTAATTTGTACCAATAACCATTTGCCATAACTGTAAGAAAACTGATATAATCTGTTCTTTCTTTCATTGTTTTCCTCCATTAGCCATTAGTAATGCAGAATAACTTTACGATCAAAAGGGTTGAAAGTGTTGCCCGCCGGTTACAAGTACATGCCAAACTAGAGACAAGACACGATGAAGAGGCTCGATTAGTTGTGCCCAGTGAAAGTATCACTAGTGAAAAGTCTCGTCTTTTCACTGAAAGTCTAAATAACTACCAATCAATCGCCAGCTCTCTTGGTGGACTTTCTGTGGCATCATCATTAGGAGCTGGAAGCAAAAGTCAAGCTCATAGTGTGTTCACCGTATCTGAAGAAAATGAAAAGCTACTTGAATCTTCAATTACCTCATTTGAAAGTCTCATTGAACAGTCCAATAGTCCATACAACAAATTAGCACGTAATAAGATTGTGCTCTGCTTATTAACCACAGGATTCTCTCTGTATTCCGTATTCTCTATCATCGCTCCATTTTATCCACAAGAAGCTGGACATAAAGGCATTCCAGAATCAATTTATGGACTGGTATTTTCATCACACGCTTTAACCATCATATTAATTTCACCCTTCATTGGAAAAGCTATACATCGATTTGAGATAAAACATCTTCTGATGTCTGGCATTTTATTAACTGGTCTATCCATGATACTTTTCGGTTTCCTTCACTACATAACAAACACCATACTCTTTGGAGCTCTTTCATTTGGCTTGAGAATCCTAGGTGCAATTGGGTTCGCCGTTTTTCACACCGCAGCTAATATCTACATTACTAAGCTATACCCACAGTCCATTGGAACCGTATTTGGCTTGGTGGAAACTTTTTGTGGTTTTGGTCTCAGCTTTGGACCCATGATCGGCGGTGGACTTTACGAATGGGCAGGCTTTCCATTGCCCTTCTGGGTTTTAGGAACAGTCAATTTACTAAATATCATTCTCTACTATTATCTAATCAAACCTATTTCAGGTAAATTCATCGAATGAACTTGCTAATGATTCATGACAATAGAGTTTAAATCTACAACCAGTCAGGCATGTTAGATGAATTGAAAATCAGCTCCTTTTACATTTTAGCCTTACAATTAGCTGAAGATTTAATTTTCAAGATGTTAGATTGAAATTAATGAAAATATTTTCTTTCTCTTTGCAGAAATTGTACCAGAATTTGATGAACATCTCAGTGACGATCCAGATACTCCTAAGTTAACTTATTGTAAACTTCTATGTAATTATAAGGCGTTGGTTATCTGTGCTGCTACAATAGTAATTTCTCAGAATCAAACTTTCCTTGATCCTACGGTTGAGCCTCATCTTTATAACAATGGAGTCAAGGAATCGTCAGTTGCTTTAACATTTTTCCTGATGAACGCCGCTTTTGCCCTTCTTTCACCCATTGTTGGTCTCATCTCGGCCAGAATTAATAAATATACGTTAATGAGTATCGGACTTTTAATCAGTGGTTGCAGTCTCATCTCTCTTGGTCCACCAATCTTTCTTCCCTTTGACGTTAATTTACAAAATAGTTGCATTTCAATGGTTTTCATGGGAATTGCTTATTCATTAACGCTTATACCATCATTTGAAGCACTGATTGAACATGCTGTTGAAGTGGATAAATTTGGTAATCTGCAAACTTTCTCATTGGTTGCTGCGCTTTACACTGCCGTCTTTTCACTAGGGTAACTATTAAATTTCAATTGTCATTTCCAATCAAATTGATTTTCATTGATACAGAATGTTCCTAGCAATCAGTTAGTTTCGTTACAAATGTATAGAATGAAAAGTAAATATTTGAAATTGATTATCAGCATAGGTTCGGTAAATTAATGAATAACCATTCAGAAATGATTTTTGAAACGTAAGATCTAGAAATATCTATTCAATCTGCTCAGCTATCTTTGATTATCTTGATTGTAGAGGGATGTTAGAGACAAATCTAGTTGAATCTTAATATTAGTAAACATTGACTTGTCATACTTGACCTTTCTAATAACAATTCATGATTTAATTTTAACAGAGAAGCAATCGGACCTGCATTTGGAGGTATTTTTACCCAATGTTTCAGTTTTCAACTATCAACTGTTTTAATGGGAAGCATTACTCTTTTCGTGGTAAGTAGTTAATCATCAAATATTATATTGTTACTTTTGGACATGATTTAACTAATTTTTATTGTCATTCTTTAGGCTTTTATTACGTTCATGACTCGTTTATGTGATCAAATGCATTGAATGCACCATTGGTTATAGCAAATGCCGCAAAATTAAATGGTTGAATATTTTTATAAGCTTTTTTTATTTCTATGTTAAAAATAATCCTTAATTTGTAAGATCGCTGAGAGATCACTATAAATTGTTTTTTTCGTTGATTAACTTTCAATAAGAAATCATATTTTGTTGTACAATTTGTACATTTTTTAGAGTTTTCATTTTATTTACATCTTCTCATTGATTCCTATTTTGGTGAAACCTCGTGAAAACGACTCCTTTTTGGATCAAAAGTAAACGAAAAATTAAAAGTCAAGTGGCTTTCAAAATGGACAATAAGATGGTTTCCTCTAATCTTCATGTGGAACCCGATAAACAAGAATCCCAGATTTTATTTCCAAGCAATCTACTGAAACAAAAGTGATGACAACTATTAAGATCAACATGTCAGTGATTGTCTTCAACTATATTTTGAAATATTTGGATTCTCTGTTTTTTTTCTTACAATTATACTCACCACTTAAACTAATTAATATTGATTGTGATCTCTCTGCCCCTAATTTTTATACTAATGCTTAATATGATCAAAATTACTAATGATATAACTCTTTTAAGCATCATCATTTTAAAATTCATTTACAATGTACACAATAAAAAGCTGTTTTTAAAATTTTTATCTTAAACTTGTCTAACAGTTAGATTCAATTGATATGATTTCGGACATCAAACATTTATGAATAGCAATCGAAATTGAAATATTCAGAAAATTATCCCGAAATATAACTGAACATTGTCTGAATCAAATCCTATTCATAGATTAACATGAAGCTTGCGGTCTTTAGTTGCGCCATCTGAAAATCTGGTTGTAACCTTGGTTACACAAACTTCATAGTAAAACATGTGAGAAAATTTACTGTAAAACCGACCACAACATTGACTTTATATTGTTTTGATATTAATTTAGTAAATTTTTGTTGATTTTTTTAATGAATTGTGCTAATTGCTTCTACCGTTTTTGGTGACCTACGGACTTTTGTTGACTTTCTTTAAATTCCATCATGATTTCAAATTTAAGTAAAATCAAATCTCATGCTTGTTTACGTCTATTTAAAATTGCTTTGAGAAATGAAGGAAGATTTTTACTTGATGCACGACCTCGTAACTTCTCTTCAGCCTCGCTAATTAGATTAACATCAGTTATTAACAACAGGCCATGTTGGTCATATTCTTCACCTAACCTGAATGGTAACCTGAATGGTGCTAACTCCAATCACCTAGTCCTAGCGAAGCGAAATTTTTGTAATCCTCCAAAACGAGATGATGATGATGATGACGGTGTTGCAAGTAAAGATCATATGGATCAAGCAATTGAAGAACCGGATCTTATGATGCCAGAGGCTGTGCCAAATACTCTTGCAACGAGTGTTATACCTGATTATTGGCCTTATGTTCCGTTGATTGCCATACAGGGAACGCCAGTTTTCCCTAAATTTTTGAAAATTATTGATGTCACTGATCCTATGTTGACAGCTTTAATCAAACGTAAAGTTAGATTAAATCAACCTTATGCTGGAATATTTTTGCGCAAGGATGAAAATAGTCAATCAGAAACAGTTAGCAGTCTCGATGATGTTTATCCTGTAGGTACTTTTGTCCAAATTGTTGAAATTCAAGATCTCGGTAACAAAGTAAAGATGGTGGTACAATCACACAGACGAATTAAGATTGTTCGGCAAGTCCATGAAGATATTGAAACAAATGGCGATAAATTAAGAAAAAGACGTACGCGTCGTAAGCTTCCAATAGAGGGTGAGAATGGAGATAAAGCTGATACAGGCAATGTCTTGATGGTTCAAGTGGAAAACATGGTACCAGAAAAGTATACAATGACAGACGAACTTAAAAATTTGACTCAAGAAATTGGAAAGATCATCCGAGAAATTATTGAATTAAATCCTCTCTATCGTTATACGTTAGCACAAATGCTTCAAGGTCAAAGAGTTGTAGATAATCCAGATTATCTATCTGACTTAGGTGCTGCTCTAACAGGAGCTGATCAACAGGAACTACAGAAGGTTTTAGAAGAGATGGATGTCCCTAAACGTCTGGAAACAGCATACAATTTATTGAAGAAAGAATTAGAGCTTAGTAATTTACAGCAAAAAATTGGTAAAGAAGTCGAAAAAAAAGTCAAAGAGGAACACCGGGGTCAAATGTTGCACGAACAGATGAAGTTGATCAAAAAAGAGTTGGGTTTAGAGAAGGATGACAAAGACAATTTAGAAGAAAAATTTCGTTCTCGATTGAAAGATCTTGATGTCCCAAAACATGTAATGGATGTTATTGATGAAGAGTTGAACAAGTTATCGCTTCTGGACAATCATTCATCAGAATTCAGTGTCACTCGAAACTATCTTGATTGGTTAACTAATCTTCCATGGGGTAAAAGTAGTATTGAAAATTTTGATTTGGAAAGAGCCAAACAAGTTCTCGAAGAAGATCATTATGGTATGGAAGAAGTGAAAAAAAGGATACTCGAATTTATCGCTGTTAGTCACCTTCGAGGTAAAGTTCAGGGTAAAATTCTTTGTTTCCATGGACCTCCTGGAGTTGGTAAAACAAGTATTGCTAAATCAATTGCTCGAGCTCTTAACAGAGAAGTAAGTTAATCATTTTAATGATTTTAACTTTATTATTTTTCACCTTATTTTATTCAAACCTTTCTTTCTTCTTTAAAGTATTTTAGATTCAGTGTAGGAGGAATGACTGATGTAGCTGAAATCAAAGGACATCGTCGTACATATGTCGGTGCTATGCCTGGTAAAATGATTCAATGTTTAAAGAAAACCAAGACGGAAAATCCTTTGGTTTTGATTGACGAGATTGATAAAATAGGCCGTGGCTATCAAGGCGATCCATCATCAGCTCTTCTAGAGTTACTCGACCCTGAGCAAAATGCTAACTTCTTAGATCATTATCTAGATGTTCCTGTTGATTTATCGAAAGTCCTTTTCATATGTACAGCAAATGTTCTGGATACGATTCCTGAGCCTCTCCGTGATAGAATGGAAATCATCGAATTAACTGGTTATGTCGCTGAAGAAAAACTTGCAATAGCTGAAGTAATTATCCATAGTCATAAACTAATCTTTTTAAGTTCGATCTCTGATAAATGTAACTCTTATCTTTCTTTCAATAGCAATATCTCATTCCTCAAGCCCAAGAATCATGCGGAGTTGGCAAAGAACGTATAGATATCCCAAAAGAGGTCCTTTATTCATTGATTCGTTCTTACTGTCGGGAAAGCGGAGTTCGAAACCTTCAAAAGCATATAGAAAAGGTAAATGAGAAAATATAAATTCTAAGTTTTTCTATTAATATTCGCTTTCTTATCTTTCTTTTGTTTTAGATTATGCGAAAAGCTGCTTTCAAAATAGTGCAAAAAGAGTCAGACAAAGTTACAGTTGATCCAAACAATTTACAAGATTTTGTTGGCAAACCCATTTTTACCCAAGATAGACTGTATGAGGTAACTCCTCCTGGCGTTGTTATGGGTCTAGCTTGGACAGCGATGGGAGGCTCTGTTTTGTACATTGAAACCTCTTTATATCGTCAATTAAAGAAACAAGGAGACAAAATCGATAAAAAAGCAACTGGATCCATAAAATTGACTGGACACTTAGGTGATGTTATGAAAGAATCAGCTGATATTGCTTATTCGGTCGCTCGTAGTTTTATTTCTCGAATAGATAAAGAAAACGATTTTCTGCATAAAGCTCATATACACCTTCATGTTCCTGAAGGAGCAACTCCTAAAGATGGACCAAGCGCCGGCTGTACAATGGTTACAGCATTATTGTCCTTAGCTCTTGATAAACCAATTCGTAATAATCTTGCTATGACTGGTGAGGTTTCGTTGACAGGTAAAGTTTTACCTGTCGGAGGAATCAGAGAAAAAACTGTAGCAGCAAAAAGAGCGAACGTCAATTGTCTAATTTTACCAAGTGAGAATCGTAAAGATTTCTCTGATTTACCTGATTTCATTAAAAGTGGTCTTGAGGTTCATTTTGTTGAAAATTACGAAGAAATTTTCAAATTGGCGTTTTCTGATTCTCAATAGCCATAGATAGCCGCAAAAGTTCATTTATTTTGTAAAGACTTGAATTTATCCTTAATTAATCATACCTTTGATATCTATTAACTTATAGTAAATATATACTTTGTTCAATCATATAGTTTTAAATAAACTTTGTACATTATTATTGGCTTACTAATTTGAATCTTTATTTTTATTGATCAAGTTTAAATGCATTTGACATGTAATCTTGATTAGGACAAGATCATTTCTTATATTTAATGTATTTAGCAAATCAGCATTCAAAGTCATACCTTGGAATCAATGGGTTGAATACGATAAATTATGTAATATCAATTTCGTTAATGTTGACCTTTATAAAATATTTTGATCTTTGTGGAGATTTTTTTTGTTAATCTTGTTGGTTAATTTTTCATTTGAAAATTGCTGATTGTTTGGTAAAGAAAAGAGAGGTAATTGGCTAAGTAATTGATATATTTTTTTGGATTAACGAATGGATTAAAAGTAAAGTTATATGATTATCATTTTTTGATTATGCTTCGATTGTATCGATCATGCAACATACCTTCAGCTGATTTTGTTTACCATTTATTTACCATTTATCAAATGGGTTTAAATGACAATCCACAACGTTATTGATCAGTTAACCTCTTACCCCAACATAGTTTATGGAATTATTTTTTTAACTTCATCATTAATAGTTTTTCGTTTCATCATGGATGGTCGATGTCCAGATATAATCAACTGCACTCAATCAGTGGCTACTTACTTCGTAGAAGGGATAGCTAGTTCACGTGAGTATCGTTTGTCTTTTTTTAATCCTGTTCTGTGAGTATGTGTGTGTGTGAGTATTCATCAGCTATTTATTATTTCGTGTGAAATGCAAAACTCAAATTTTTAATCTTTTCTTCTAAATAATTCAGTGAGATTTTCTCTATTCATTTAGTTTTCGAGACGAGAGGTATGACCGAATTGGTTCCTTCTAACGACCCAGTATGGATTTTGGGTGAAAAGTATAGTTCACTTCATGACATGGATGGTATTAAAGATGACATACGTTCAAAATTTTGGATCACTTATAGAAAAGGTTTCCCCAAGATTGATGGTTCAGGTCCAAGCAGCGATTTTGGCTGGGGCTGTATGCTACGTTGTGGTCAAATGGTTTTGAGTCAAGCCTTGATCTTGAAACATCTCGGTCGACAGTGGAGATGGTCTAAAGATAAAAAGGAAATGATCGAAAATGGTTCTTACAAAACATATTTGAAAATTTTAAGCCTTTTTCTAGACAGGAAAGCTTCTCCTTACTCAATTCACCAAATTTCACAAATGGGCGCGACAGAGGGTAAAGCTATTGGTACATGGTTCGGACCAAATACAGTTTGCCAAGTACTAAAGTAAGTCACTACAAAAACGTACTCGGTCATTTTCTCTCGGTGAATTTTCTTTTAGATTATACATTATCATTATAATTTTATCTTGCTCATTATCTACCTGTATTTTCTTAATCCTCGTTTAGTTTCGGTATTCTTTGATCAGAGATGGTTGTTGATAATCTAGAATCTACCAGATTGGAGAGGAGTTCTTTCAACCCTTCAATTAATCATAATTGCATTTGATCGTTACATATTTTGATTTTATTAATGATTTTTTCATCCGCCTTCTGTTATCCTTTAACCGTTTGTTTTAAAGGGTGTTTATTCAAGTTTGCCATCAACGGTGAAGACTGAATGAGCCTCATTGGTCAAAGGTAGTAGAGTTTAGATTCAAAATGGACAATAATCAACACCATCTATTGAGTTATCAAAAATAGGCAATTAAATTATAATGATTTGACTTGATTAATCTTTTCTCTCTAAAACTCAATTCACCCTTCAAGTTTAAATCCCATTCAATTGAATATTGTCAACTAATACATTCTTATTTCTCTTTTTGGCTGTTTAATTATCCACAGGAAACTCTCAGAATACGACAAATGGAACAAATGGGCTGTACATATTTGCTGTGACAATTTAGTGATTATAGATGAAATTAAAGAGTCAATTAAAGAAGCTATTGCCCTCCATCAACCGTCTGAAGATGAAGCATCTACAAGTAAATCTTGGTGTGATCTTTTACTTTTTATTCCTGTCCGATTGGGTTTAAATGAATTCAATAAATTGTATTATGATGCCATCAAAAACTCTTTCCGCCTTCCTCAGAGTCTGGGCATAATTGGTGGTCGACCAAATCATGCTCTTCATTTCATTGGTTGTGTTGGTAACGAGATGATCTATTTTGACCCTCACACAACGCAGTATGCTGTTGATCCAGAACCTTTAGTCGATATCGATACTAAATCAGATGAAGATTTGACAAACCTAGAGTTCGACGATTCTACGTATCACAATGATAATGCCTTTCGTTTGGAATTTTCTCAACTTGATCCTTCCATGGCCATGTGTTTCTATTTTCGATCCGAGGAAGATTTTGATAGTTGGTGTACTCTTATTCACAGTCTCCTTGTTAAGAATGTCCCACAGTCATTGTTTGAATTATTTAAAGAACGACCTTATAAAATGCTCAATTTGAGCCCAAATGAAAATCCCGCCAACAGTCAAGATGATTATGATACTGGTGCAATCCCTCAACCTAAACAATCAACAGATCTCGCCAAAGAATCAGAGGAGGAAGATTTTGAAATACTGAGTGGTGATTAATGTCCACATCCAATAAACACTTATCCCGTCTGTTATTCACCTGTAGATCGCATCGTCACTTTCCATCATGATCCACACAAGAAAAGAGTATTGATTACAAAATTTTTATAAAAAAAAGACATCACGTTGTTCTTATATTTTTGTCCTTTTAAGACTGTTTGTATTAAAAAAATTCAATTGTAATAACTTCTTCTCTGAATTCAAATAGTTCAAATTGTACCATTCGTTTCTGTATCAACTGAAATCAAAACATTTCCATTGTAACTGATATTTCTCTGGATATAAATCACGAGATTTCATTTCATGGAAAGCCATTTTTATCCACAAATTATGACATCAAATTTAATTTTCTATAAATGTTAAAATTTGACCGATAGTTCAAACAAAACAAAACAGAAGTCTTCACTCTAATGAAATCATCAAGAATAATGCAAATTAATCAGTCGTTAAAGATTATGAAAAATACCCAAAACAGTTGGTCAAAGAGTAGACTTATGAGTGACTGTAATTGGCTTGGACCATTCTGTATCAAATAATGTACCAAAGGCGTTTCATATTTTGATAGCTAGATAGGCTTATGTTCAGTTGAGATATGAATTTATCTTGAATAACAAATCACTCGATATATCTGTCCACTTTTAATAACAATTGAATCATATTTACTGCATCAAGTAAATCTTGCCCGAACTGATGATCAAAAGCCAAATATTTGTAAGTAACAACAACAGTACCAACAATAGGCATTGAAAGCACAATATTTCGTGTTTTAAATCTAGCTTTACAATTCCAACCTATTCAGTATAAAAACCAAATACATGAAATTATGTGATGAACATGAAATAATGGGAATCATAGTGTTTGTTTGGTTTCATGTAAATCTGAAATAAATGAATTAAGTTCAAACACATTAAATGAATTTAGATGCACACTTTTTGAAGCCCAATTTCACTTACATTATTGATTAAATTACAGGTTTGATTTTTGTATTACAGATTCTAAAGTTAAACAATGATTAACAACAAAGATCTTACAATCCTCAACACTTCTATTTTCAAAATTAACAACTGCTTAGTGATTAAATCATGTTAAATCTTGAAAACTTTCATGTTTTTGTTTTACTTTAACCGGAACTTTTTTTCAATCCAAGCTATATTTTGATTGACTCAGTAATTTTTACTCCTTGTAATTTTTCATCTTGATCTTGATCTTTCATCAGTTTGATTATCATCTTCTTATTCAAATTTGGCCTTTTCAAAGTCAATTGGCTTTTATTATCACTGATTTAATCGAACCTGTTGCAATCCTTCGATAAAGTTTAAAAGGTAAATCCAGCCTCTTCGATTTTCCTAATCTAAATTAATTTTTCGCTGTCATAATCATAATTTTTAACACCATCAATTCAAAATGTGACTATTTCTCCATGGAAGTTTTTCACTCCACCTTTTCGCAACCGAATCGACTTATAAATATCTTTGTGTAACTTATATTCTGAGTCTTCGTCTCCATCTTAGTTTGGTCACATTACTCTTCTTCAGATCGATTTGTATCGACAACTAGACGTGTTTTTGTTGAAACATTTTTTGGGAACCAAAGTAAAACCAAAATTTAATCTTCTGACCAATTCCCATTCTTTTGTGCTTTAGTGAAGATGGATTCAAAACAATTTCGTGAAGCTGCCAAACAACTTGTTGATTATATTTGTGATTATCATGACAATATACGAGATCGCGATGTTTTGCCAGCCGTTCAACCATATTTTCTTGAGAAACAAATGCCTGGCTCAGCACCAGAAAATGGTGAACCATGGACATCCGTGTTCAATGATATTGAAAAGTTAATTATGCCTGGGGTGAGTAAAACTTATTTTGTTATTGGTAAAACAAATCTTTAATTTTTTATATAATCAAGCAAATCAAAGTTCAGATTGTTGCAAAATTTGAAGTTGTTTCAATTTTTCTCATCATTCTGTTAACGTGATTTCTCGATGAGAAGGATTAAGACAAAATGATGAAACAGAGGCAAGAACAAGTAATTAGGTGAGAAGTGATGACAAGTAAGAAACAATCACTAACATGGTGATGAAGTATTGATGGAATCTTCTGATCAGTTAACAATATAATTGTGAAACAAGTAGTTGAACTGGGAATAAGAAACCAGAAAACGCTTAAAATTTGCTTATTCAGCTCACCATCATCATCTATTTGAAACGGAAAACAACCAGTTATGGAACTGATTCAGTGATGAGATTATTTGAAATTAGATGAGGACTGAGCAAAAGATATTTAAAGGTCGCATGAAACTTGAAAGGGTAAATTTGCTAAAATAAAATCAAAGCTAAATTCATCATTTTCAATGCTAATCACAAATGCCCGGGTTAAAATTTAGCTTGTTACTTGTCATGGACTGGGTTATTTTTCTTGGCAACAAATTGCAATGCAGTTTGCCCATGTCCATGTAATGGATTACAGTAAAACCTCGCAAAGGTTGTATGAAACTAAACAACGCCATCTTTGGGATTTAAGATTTTCCCCACTTTTACAATGCAATTATGTTAATAATTTCAAAGAGTTGCACAAACAATATCGCTAGGCGGCAGGACCGCTCACAACCTTTGCGAGTACAACCTTTGCGAGGTTTTACTGTAAATCTTTTACCAGACTAAGAGTTCAACCTTTTGTTTTCAGCACCACTCTCAGAAAATAACAAATGCATGATGATTGCTTATTAAGCTTTGATTCATAAACAAGAAAGCTTCAGACAATTTACCAACATGAAAATAGCGAATGAGAGATGTAAAGCTAGAGCTTTTCAGCCAATTCAATGCTAAGGTCTGAATATAATACAAATAGCTTCAGATGGATTTCCATATAGAAATTTTGTGGTTAATGATGATGTTGTTATCAAGTAATTGATGATTTATTTGAACCATTTCAGTATGGACATGACGTGGGACAAGTATTAAAATATGATTATCTCAATACAAATTAACTATCAGCATGTTAACGAATTTCTGAGACGTTAGAAAGCGCTTGTACAAACATTGAAATGTACGTAGACGTTTTTAGAGAAATATCTAAGAGTTTTTTGAGACAAAATAAGCAAGTTCTTGTTATGGACAAGGTTTGCACATTAGAAGTACTTGAACTCATTATGTAAAGGATAGAGTACTCTCACAAAATGATATATTCAAGAAACATTCAAGATACTTTTGTAAACAGTTTAATATGCTTGTCAAAACTTAACATCGAGGTGGAAGGATCTGTAAGTTTCATTAAATGAGATCAGTAAGAAATCGTTATGCTATAACTTGTTGCGTGTTAATAGCTTGAAAAATTTTAGTTATTGAAAATAATAAAGGTTGGATAAGGAATTGTGATCATGTTATGGCCACATTTGGTTGTCGTGTAAATTTTATAGCTGTCATAGGTCGATTCAAATATATCGTCGTTCCGGTCGCTCTTGTTTATCTTTTTCACCATCCTTTGACGCTAAATCTTTATCAAATGAGCTTGCCCTACTGGTGGTGCTGAACATTGTATCCAGAGTTGATTGATAGTATTTTCTTGAAATGGGTAAAAAATTACTGCTAATTGAAGACAAAGGTCTACTTATGTGGCCGAAGTCAAGCTTTGCTCTGTTTATATCTCTTGATTGATTGACATTTTGGTTAGAAACACTGATAGTTCCACTTGGATTCGCTTTTTCTTGCTGGTCTGACTGCGTTATGGCCATGGTAGGTTCAGCCGAAGTCAATGTTTGTGGAATGTTTGATGGTCTTTTAGCCTTATTGCTTGTTTTGAAAAGTTCAGCAATATCAAGGGAATCTCTTTTACCGCTTTTAAACTCGCGTCCCATCTGATTGACAGGTCTTCTCACTAGATATTCCCAGCCATCTTTAGTTACAAATATTTGCTCGATGAATCCAAGAACTGCTCGTAATTTATTTTCTTCGTCTTCTGCCAGCGGAGGACGGCAAACATGTGACTAGAGCCAACTGCAATGGCCATACCATGACATCCGATTGAGTAATTCTTTATAGCATCTATTCCAAGTACTTCTTTAGCGATAGTATTTACTATTCTTGAAGCTGAGACTCTTTGCTTATTGATAGCTGATATAATCCGATCTTTAGATTCACTTGATAAACCTTCAAATTGGATTGCTAGAAAATTTTTCCTCCACTATGAAAAGAGAATAATTCGTTATTATAATATCTTTAAATGATTCAAATTTCAACACTTACCTCATTGTCACGTTTCAAAAGAGATAGCTTTTTCTCAGCATAAGTAATGTAGTCTTTTTGACCCTTGAGTGACCATTCAGCAGGGTATTCTTGATTGACCATGGCCATACTAGTTACATGAGGAAAATTGATTGCTTCTAGTGAAGCTACTCTGCTGTTAAGTTGTTGAACCATAATCTCGAGAAAGTTAATTTTCTCTTTTAAAACCGGGATCGATTCAAATAAAGTAGAATCAGGATCTGTAGGAAAAGAAAGCTTGTTAATTTTTGCCTACAGTATAAAATTTTGGGTACTTACCTTCAAAGCTCAAAGGCTCGTTTTCTATATTGTCATCCATTATTAGAATCGGTTGCACGAAAAGTCAACAGTAATAATACGAAAATAATTTGAGAAAATCAAAAAAATAGCACCAATTATAACAAAATAAATAACTAAACAAAAATATTCTAAAAATTGAACAGCGTGTTTAAACCCATATGCTTTTAACAGAGGGAACGTTATAAAAGTTCACTTTGTACCAAAAGCCATGCTGTTTTGTTTGTGATGGCCATGGTAAATCTCAAAATTTCATTGTTCATCTTGTTGTTCACCGCCACCAATTGTGTTATCAGAGGCTATATCTGAGCCATCTGAATCATCTCGTCGACTTTTTTTACTTTGTGTTTGTGGTATTTGCGTTGAACTTTCCAATCCAGATGGACCCGAGATATTTTTTTCAATGCTTTCATTGCGCTTCCTCTTGCGCTCTCTACCACTCTGGTTAACTGGTCCTCTAACCAAAACCTCCCAATTCGTTGGATCATTGAATAAATCATTTCCAAAGCAAGAAAGAATATCTATGTAAAAATTAGTGTTGCATGACATAACATGGCCATGTATGTGATTTACCTCGCAAAATTTCTTCTTCTTCCAATGGAATGACCAAGGCACGTTCACCATCCCTAGGCGCTCGCACCAAACGACCTTTTTCACCAAGTATATGTGTTTTCAATTTATCACCGTATATGATTTTAGCTAAGGAAATAGCTGTCTTTGAGGCTGCTTTATTTCCTTTGAGTAGCTCGTAGCGAACCGAGTCAATTTGATCTTTATTCAACTGTGGCCATTCCATGTTTTTGACTCTACGTCGCCACTGTGTCATCAAGCAAACATAATTGTTAAATGTGAGTTATATTTTCATTTAATATGTACCTTTGGATCATTACGATGGTTGGCCATTTCAGTCATAGCATGATCAGTGATGCTGAGTGACGGATCACGAAAGTTTGCACTAGATACTTGGTTATCAATCTTTTCTTCAATGAGTTCCAGTCTTTCAACAAGATTTTTGAACAAAAGATCTATCTTATTGGAAACACTTTCAAAATTTCGCTTCAATGTATAGAAAGAGTTTTGCTGATCAAAAGCGTGGTTGTTGTTGACCTTTTCATGGCTTGAACTTGATGCTGTCATGTTATGGCCATTCACATTATAAGGAGTCTTTCTTGGGTTGCTCAGTATTAATGGACCAGAACCAATTTCACGAAGTTTACTTTTACAAAGACTATTTGTTCCATAAAAAATCGGAATGACAGTATGGGAAACTCCAGTTGGATCTTCAACTTCAACTCTATCCTTGATTTTTTGACCAATGTCAACAACATTTTTGCCAAAAAATATAGCTTGTATAATTCTCGGATCACCTTTGGAAATTTTATCCCTGACAATTACAAAAGCATCTGAAAATTTGAATTATAACAGCGTTGAACACATAAGAAAACTCACCTCCGACTGAAACAGTAAAATCACAATCTGTGTAGACAGGGTCAATGGTTGTCATTTTGAAATTTACAGTGAACACAAAGATTACAAATTAACTACAAAGTATGATGAAAAAATGAGCAACTTCTTATCATGATCCTTTTATTGTTTTCTCTAGAGAAATGACATGGCCATCATGGTAACCAATCAAAACTCATATTGTGTTAAAATATTTTAACACAATATGCTCAATTGATGAAAAAGATGAGTAAAATTTTGGTAAAAAAATACTTTTATTAGCAATTTCCCTTTTTCCCATCAACCCATAAGCAAATGTGTGATTTTTCAATTTTCCTGTTTTCTTGAAAATGTTGCGATCAAGACGACATTGCCGATCTACCTCTTCATCTTATTTGCGTAAAAAAGTAACTTCAATCAGAACTCCATCCTTTACAATATCCCTGAATGATTCAACCTCTTCGGAGTCATCTTCTTGCGACAGTTTTACCGACGATGTCCTACATGTGGAGGAATATCACGAGGACAATGATCATCTAGAAGTCCAAGGACATGACATGGCCACAGTATCGCAGATTGAGAAGTATATGTTGACTGTCGCTAAGTTATTTGATGAAATCAATATAAGTGATTTGACTCAATCGAAGCTTTACGAGCTTATCCGGACAGTTGGAAGAGATAAAGTGTTTTTGCCTCCTTTCAATTACTTCAGCAAGTTTTTGAAACGAACGAGTTCAATCAGTGTTAAGAAATATGTATATTGTGAAAATTGTAATGTGTTTACTTTTCAAAAACAAAACTGTTCTTGTATTGGTGTTTTTGGTGATTTGCGTGTTTTTGACATGTGTCAAACAATTGAACTTGCAGTCAAGATTAACAAGGAATACCTCAAATCATCAGTTGATGTTATTGAAAACTTGACAGGTCCATACCATGGGTCAAGAATTTACAACGAAATTTGGAGAGATACAGTAGGAAAAGACGTGATAAGAATTACACTCATCTTTAACATTGATGACGCTTCTTTTGTCAAATCAGCAAGAACAACATCAACCCCTATTTAATTCATTATTGCTGAGCTTCCAGAGCATAGAAGGTACTGTAAAAGCAATGTTTTCATGGCAGGTCTATGGTGGGGAAATAAAGCTAGTTATGACGATGTATGGAAGTTTTCAGTGACAAATGAGCTTAAAAATATGAACACTACAGGCATAAAAGTCGCTATTGATGGAGAATACAAACTCTGTATTGTCCGAATTGGAGCGATTGTTACAGATTCTGTAGCAAAACCAAAAATAATGAATATCATGCAATATAATGGTAAATATGGATGTCCATACTGCCAACACCCTGGCGAGTCCATGCAAACAGCCAGAGGTGGCTCAAAGATGTGCTTTCCATGGAATGGTCAAGAACATCCAATAAAAGATCACGATTTCTACAGGAATGGATCAATTTTGGCTGCAAGCTCTGGTTCACCTCACATGGGCATAAAAGGGCCATGCTCATTGGAACAGGTCATATATCTACCTGATTGCTTTCCAATCGATTATATGCACTGTGTTTTAGAAGGAGTTTTCAAGACAATTTTTGGAATGAAACCATTCAATTTAGTAGCAACAACGAAGAAGATAGATGACATCGGAAAGTCAGTTCAACTTCCGCATGAGTTTTCAAGAAAATTCAGAAAGATATCTGATTTAACATACTGGAAAGCGGGCGAGTGCCGAACATTTCTTCTATACTTAACACCGCTGCTTAGATCGTGCATTGATTCCGAAAGTTTTCATCTGGTAATAGCTTTGACCGTATCAATACGATTGCTGATTAAAAATAATTGCTGTAACCATGATATTTCCATGGCAGATGAATTACTAAAAATCTTTCTAGTTTCTTATCAAGAAATTTACGGAGAAAATTCAATGCGCTTCAATGTTCATCTTTTGAGTCACCTCATTAATCAAGTGAAAAAAATGGGCTCGTTGAGCAATGTTTCCAGCTTTGTTTTCGAAGACAACATCTTCAAATTGAAAAAAACAATACATGGAAATCGTGGACAAAACGCCCAAATGGTCGATCGCTATTTGAGATCAAAAGCATTTCTACATCAGAGCCTTAACATGGACCCAGCGTGGCCAATCAACAGTACTGAAACCTGGAGGTCAGCACACTGTTTGGATAAACCCTTGAAAAACAAAGAAATAAACACAAGCTTACTGAGAATGTTACGTTCTCGTTTTGGTAATCTGCAGCAAAATCAATTGAGTGTTTATGGTAGAGCTAAAAAAGGGCATATTATTTATCACTCATTGAACTATTCCTACAGAAGGTCATCAGCAAGTTATTACTTCCATTTTCATGATATAACTACAACGGAGAAAAGATATGGAGAAATTCAATATTTCATACTCATTCCAGAATGTGTGACGAAGTGTGGCCATGACAAAATCTTTGTGGTCTATCGTGAATATGCTAGTTATAGCAAACAGTCACTTTTCACCAGTATTGAAAAACTGAAAAATGCGCTACTTAAAAATGTCCCTAATTTAGTTAAAAATGCGCAAATTTTTCATAAAATAAAACGCTCAGATAAAATAAACATAATCGAAATTCAAAGGATAGAGGGTAAGGCCATAATAATAATTGAGTCAATTAGATCAAACACATACTATGCAACCCCTGTTGATTCATTATACGAGCATGATTAAATTAACAATAAATTGGTGGTATTCATGTTAACTGTAAATTACAATAAAATGCATATGGCCATAACGAGAAAATCCGTTCTAGTGTACATCTAAATTTATTTTCATTCTAGTAGCTAAATCGAAAGAAATGTTAATAGTCCAGTATCATGGCCATTATTGAAAATGAAAAATGTTGTGATTAATTGTAATTACTATTAACACATTGATTTACTAGCAAGTTGACTGTATTAAATTATTATGATCATATCTTGGTTTTCATAGTCAAATATTGTCATCATGCCTCTGGAATCATATTAAGGCTTGATATTGATACTTTTCGTCCAAGAAAACATAATGGACATGTTCTAAACCTGTCCTTGACAAGTAAACGTCAAATATTTCAACCCGGGTGCAAATTTATCCAACTTGTTCAATCCATTCTCATTTGACACTAAATAAGATTTTAAATTTGTTACTTTGACCATTTCAAAGATGACACACTGGCATTCGCCTCGATTTCACGCTTATTTTCCAACAGCCAGCTCTTATCCAGCCATTTTAGCCGATATGTTAAGCGGAGCTTTGGGCTGCGTAGGCTTTAGTTGGGTAAGTCACCTCAATAAACAATTGTGCAAATCATTTGAATCCCTTAAACAATTCAATTAGATTTCAAGTCCGATCTGTACTGAGCTGGAAATGTCCATGATGGATTGGCTTGGTAAAATGCTTCATTTACCATCTGAGTTTCTCTTTTCCTCTCATGGCAAAGGCGGTGGAGTGATTCAAGAGGCTGCAAGTGAATCTACTTTAATCTGTATGCTGGCAGCTCGAAGTAGAGCGATAACAAAATACTCTTCCTCTTCTTCACCAAAAAACAAATCACCTTTGAACAAGTTAGTCGCTTATTGTTCAACTCAAGCCCATTCATCGGTAGAAAAGGCTGCCTTATTAAGTGCAGTAAAAATTCGCAGTCTAGATCCAGACACGAATCTTTCTTTGCGCGGAGAGACACTGGAAAGGGCGATAAAAGACGACAGGGAAAAAGGATTGATCCCATTCTTTGTTGCTGCCTCATTAGGAACAACCAATAGCTGTGCATTTGATAACATCATTGAAATTGGCCAAATATGTGAGTAAACATCTCTTTATCCTTTAATTCACTCCTTCATTCTCATGGCAATTTTAAATTCAATCATCAGGTCAAAAGGAAGATATTTGGTTACATATCGATGCAGCTTATGCCGGTTCAGCTTTCATTTGTCCTGAGTATCGCCATTATCTCAATGGAGTTGATGTAAGTTTACTTGATTATCGCACTTTTTTCCTAATAAACTGTGAACTTTTATAATTCAAGTTCCCAGAATTAAATTCACTTCGCTCTTGTAACCAACTCTTACTTTGATTTTATTAGAAAGCTGATTCCTTCAATATGAATCCACACAAATGGCTTTTAGTAAACTCTGATTGTTCTGCTTTATGGTTTGTATCATTATTCAAAGTTATTGATTTAAATACTAACATATCCAATTTGTATTGACATTATTTCAGGGTTAAAAATTTAAATTTGATTAGCGATGCTTTCAATGTTGATCCAGTTTACTTGAAATATGATAAACAAGGGCAAATCCACGATTTTCGGGTATGAATCAACTTTATTTTGTTTTAATACAATCTAGAGTCTGACATTTTTTGACCTTTTATTTGAACAAATAGCATTTGCAAATAGCATTGGGTCGTCGATTCCGTTCATTGAAAATGTGGTTCGTTTTCCGACTTTATGGACTCAATGGGTTACAACAATTCATAAGAAAAGTATTCATATCTTTTAACTGATTCATTAATCACATCGGCTAATGGTTTTCAATCTTTTAATCCATAGCATATAAGGTTGGCTTCTGAATTCAAAATGATGCTCCAAACTGATCCAAGGTTTCAAATTGAACAACCTGTTGTACTTGGTTTGGTCACTTTTAGGTTAAAGGTGAGTTAGACATTAGATCGGTTCTCATCATTTTTCTAATAATTGGCCTTTCATTATGAACAGGGTTCCGATGAACTGAATAAGAAGTATGCTAAAGCAATAAATGACCGAAGGAAAATACACATATCTCCATGTAGTATAAATGGCCGTTACACTCTTCGATTTGTTGTTTGCTCTCGCCACACTGAACTTGAAGATATAAAATTTTCTTGGAATGAATTCAAGACTGTTGCTGATCAGTTTCCCATGGAAAATGGATTTGCCAATCATTAATAAAAGCTCAGTAATAATGTAAAGCTTAGTGAAAAAGTATTGGGAATTTCAACAAATTTTAGCCATGAAATTCAAAGACCACTCGATGATTCTGATTCTCTTTGGCGATTCATTGTGAAAACTCAATTTCAATATTATATTTAAGATACATTATTCAGTTTGTGAAAACTCGCAATGAATTTTTTCCCTTTTGATGATCTAGAGTATGATGATTTACTGATCAATTAAGAAATTTCTGTCAGAATTAGAGTCGAAGTGAGTTATCTATTTTGGATTGTACTATCAAATGATCGTGATTCAAAATTAAAATAAATTTTCCCAATAATTTTGCTCTAAACTTTGATTGAACAAACAAACCTAACATTTTCAATTTCAATAGCATAACCTCATAATACACTTTGAGTTTAATCTTTATGAAATTTCCATTGATTTATCTGTTTGGTTTGTTAAAACAATTTTGCTTTTAGACCAAAAATTAGCCAGAGAGACCAAATCTATTTGTTTTAGACTGATTTGTACTCGATATCTCAGCTTGTCGATTTACTAATCCAATTGTACTAACAGGCGTGTTTATTTGCCAATTAAACTCTTATTTTGATTGTTTAGTGTTGTTAAATAGATGTTATATCAATTGATACGTAAAGATTTCATCTATGTGAGCAATTTGATTATAAACTACCATAATATTTGCTAATCGGACTATTTGATAATTGAGATTTTTTCAGCGTGACGCACAATGCGCTTATGTCGTCGAAAAAGAGTTCAGAATTCAGATGCAAGATCAACTGAAAGTACAAGATTATGTTCATTAGGAAAGCTTATATTCATGTGTGCAGATTTTCCGTGTATATGTTAAAAGAAGGCATTTTTTCATGGCGTAAAAGACCGTCACTAGTGCATAAGAACTAGAAGCACCTTATTTAACAATCAAAATAGACTTATAATGTAAAGTTATCGATTTAGGTTTGATTTGGCAAAATAAACGCGCCCAACCTGGCTGTCCATGTCTAGTTTGCATTATTTCAGTTTCAATAGTTTCTGTTGATTTTGATTGAATGTTTCAAGTAATTAATATTGATTTGAATCGATTTTTAAAGATGTTTGCTGAAAGATAATATTAATAATACAAGCTGTTTCAATAGTGAACGCTATCAAATAATGATCCAGATAATTGAGAGTTATGAGTAAAATTGTTTGATTTTGTTTTCACATTGAAATATTAATAATATTAATATTTGATGATAGAAACCGGTGTTTCTATGATTAATAAACTGAAAACATTAATTTGTAATTTGAATAAGCTAAACAACGGCTAGTGAAACTAGGATTTGTTCACATAGAGCAAAGCATTTGTTTGGGTAAAGTTGATGTTTTTTTGTTGCAATTTAATACGAAAAAATAGTGAAAATGATTTCGTGAACAAAAGCAAGATGCGATTTTTGCCACACCTATTGTCGAGAAGCTAAAAAAGATGACTTTGAACATGCAACTCTAATGAAGAGGATGAAGTAGTGGGTGGTAAAGACGACTGACTAATGTTCACCTTAGCTTAAACCAGGCAAACCTTTTTGAAACACTTGAGTTGACATGAAAGCTGAACAAAATTGAGACAAAAATTGCTTATAAAACTGTGAAACCCAAAAATTTTAATAAATTTTGGCGTTACTTCCATTATTCAAATCAATTGAAATACTCGGCAGTGATCACCGAGCCAATGATAATGTCTAGCAATCTGTCACATAAGACTCCATAAGCTCTGTTAAGATAAATTTTTAAGTGTTGGTTCAATTTCATCGGTAGAAATTGAAATAATCAAATTTCCAGGATTGATCCATTTAGATCTTTACATTTATCTAAATATCCAGAGGCCTAGACTAATCAATATGATAAATATCGCAACTTACCGAGTGGCTTTACAACCGGCTAAAGATTTTGCCCAAACAATCTAAATAGTCTAATCATTATGAGAGATGTTGTATCAGTTTTTACGTGATGTTAATTAATTAATCATAAGTTAAAGGAAATATAAAGGGAGATAGATACTCAAATAAGGAAATGTTGAAATGTAAATATGATTATTTAATGAGTTTGGAAGAAAATTTGTTCCTTTAATCATTAATGATTTTATTAACAATTGTCATTACAGTAAACGATTTTGGAGAGGGAAAGTTGAAGAGGGGAATGAGAGGGAGAAGAGGCAAGGAAGGTAAATTGGTTTGAAAAGAGAGAGAAAAAGAAAGAGAAAATGAGACTTGATTGTGGCGGCTTCTTTGATTTTTTTCCAAAACTAACTATCATCAGTTGGTTTCTGGTGTATGGTTAGTAACTCGCCTTGCCTTGCTTAATGTTCATGTTGTAGTCAATACAGTAAACATTTGAAAATATATCTTTCATATTATAATTTTATTAATATTATGGCCTCTGCGAGAGATCTATTTATCAGGATAAGTGATGCCTTTTGGTCAGAATCTATCTGGTTACCGCCGAATACAACGTGGAAAATCTACGAAGATCGTGCCGGTGGTATTAACTACGCCCAATTTAATGATATCTATTACTCCCTGTTAACAGCTATCGTGATATTGTGTATTAGAATTACCTTCGAACGTTTAATATTCCGACCATTGGGTCAAGCCTTAGGAATAAGTGATCGTCCTCGGGTTAAATTAGAGAAAAATGAAGTCCTGGAGAAAGCCTTTAGGATCAACAGACGTCCATCACCATCAACAATTCAAGCTTTATCCAAGCGAACCGATTTATCGACCAAAGCAGTGGAATCATGGTTTAACCGTCGCCAGGCAGCCGTCAAACCCACTACCTTAGCTCGGTTCACAGAGAGTTCGTGGAAATGTACATTTTATACGTTTTCCTTCTTTTTCGGAGTCTGGGCTCTTTGGGATAAACCTTGGACTTGGGACTCAATGCATTGTTTTATTGATTACCCTCATCATTCAGTGTCATCTGAAATTTGGTGGTATTACAATATAGAACTTGGTTTTTACATTTCTCTCATCATATCACAATTTTTTGACGTTAAATACAGTGATTTCTGGCAAATGTTTATACATCATGTTGTGACCGTTCTGTTACTTTGTTTTTCTTGGGCTTGTAACCTCCATAGAATCGGTACTCTAGTTCTGATAATCCATGATTTTGCTGACATTCCGTTGGAGGGAACCAAGATAACGCGCTACATGAAAACCCCTAGGCTGGCCAATGTTGTCTTTTCTGTATTCCTCATCTGTTGGATATACTCAAGACTTGGTCTTTTACCAACCCGAGTGATAGCCTATTCAACATATTATGCTTTATCCATTCTTCCCATGTTCCCAGCATATTATATTTTTAATGGTCTTCTGTGTACACTACAAGTTTTACACATTGTGTGGACCTGGTTAATCTTAAAAATTGCCCATAATGCAATTTTTGTCGATGGAGTCAAAGACTTACGAGAAAGTGATGACGAAGATGACGATTGAGATTTCCAGATCGAGATTAAGATATTTGAAGTGGGAGATAAACACCTAATCGAGATTTTGTAAAGGAGAAATAAGCAATCTTTTTTTGTTCTGTTTTTTCACAACACCATGGTAACCATTTAAGCTACTAGTGGTGTTAACTGTAATAATCAATTGTTGGTACACCTAGACGTTACTCACAATACAATGTACAAAATATCCACCAATAATCATATTTCCAGTTAACAATTGAATCAATCTGCTCCAAAACCTTTAAGGTATTATTATTGTGTGTTTATCAAGATTGTTTGGATTTGTTTGAATCGTATGATGTTGAGAAATGACAATTGTGAGTGGAATTGCAACCTGGCCTGATTTTGATTTTTGTTTTATTGTTTCCTTTTTCCAGTTAACTTGTATGAATCATCAGCAACCTTTATTGTGGCAGATCTCTGGTGTATTAACATCTACATCTAATCATTTGGGCTTCTTATGTTATCAATAATAATTGTTATTATTTCCCTTAAATGATTAGTTAAGCTCATTTTTTACAACTGTATTTAATACAATAATAAGGAAAAAAAATATGTCGCCAATTAATTTTGGTCAATAAAAATATTATAGATTTAATAGGAATGCAATTTATTCTTAGTAACAATTGTTCGGACAATGATACCACAATAAAAAACTTTAGCTAGTCAACTTGGGAAATTACATATTTTAACATTGATTTGATAAATTTGGCTCAACTTTGAATCAATTCATGTGCAGTTGCTTATGATTACTTGTTTTGCTCCATTTAAAATCTTTATTGTTGGTAAGCAAAATCAATTTTTCAGGCTTGGCTATTTTCCTACGTCTTTAATGAATATTTATTCAATTATTTTATCAAATTAGCGGAAAACTTGCTGATTTCCATTGAAATTGATTGAATTTAATTGACTACAGCTCTAGTGGTTAAATTATGTAATTTATGAATTTACCCTTACCGGTTTATATTTGATTTGCTCAGAAGAGAGACTTGGTGTTTCAAGGGCGTTTAGTTTGTTACTTGTGCTTTATTTAATTAATATATCTTAATCGAAGTATTCTAGATTGTCAACTTAATAATTGTGCATCATGACCCTTAAAAAGTTATCAATTGTTGATTTGGATCTCAAAGGGAAACGTGTTTTAATCAGGTATGAAATTAAAGAAAACAATAACTAGACCTTTCACTGTTTGCTTGAGTCTAATGTCTACAATGCTTCATCAAAATGTATTATCCTTTGTTTGTTTCAATCTATTCTTCTTTTGATTATCTATTTCTTTCTCTTCGTTCTCTTTGACTATCTATATGTGACTAATTACCCGTTTTTTCCCTTATTTATTACTCATAGGGTTGATTTCAATGTTCCCATGAAAGATGGTAAAATTACAAACAACCAGCGAATCGTTGCTGCTTTGGATACAATCAAATATGCTATTGATAAAGAAGCCAAGAGTGTTGTTTTAATGTCACATTTGGGACGACCTGATGGACGACCAAATGCTAAATACTCATTGGCACCGGTTGCTCAGGAGGTTGGAAAATTACTTGACCGTGAGGTTAAATTTTTACCTGATTGTGTTGGACCTGAGGTCGAGGTTAGTTACAGCTGATTGACATTCAAGGTTTTGAAACTTGATATCGATTCGAGCTAAATTTATTCAAAGCTTCAATACATTGAGCATATAAACAAAATGCAGACCTGACTGAAAAAAGGGTTTAGATGAGAATAGCATTATAAACCTTTTTTATGGCTCTCCATTTGTTTATATACTCACCGTATTAGAATCAATTTATTCCACTGCATTCCCTAATTATTACTCTTTTTCTGGGATAGGCTGCTTGTGCAAACCCAGCAGATGGTTCAGTGATACTACTTGAAAACCTGCGATTCCACGTAGAAGAAGAAGGAAAGGGGAAAGATGCCGATGGCAAAAGTTTAAAAGCAACTGCCGAAGAGGTTAAAAAATTCAGAGAAAGTCTAACCAAACTCGGTGATGTTTATGTCAATGATGCTTTTGGAACTGCTCATAGAGCACATTCATCTATGGTTGGAATCGCTCTCCCTCAGAAGGCAGCAGGTTTCTTGATGAAGAAAGAGCTTGATTATTTCGCAAAAGCACTGGACAATCCAGAGAAACCTTTCCTTGCAATCCTTGGAGGGTAAATATCATATTTATCTAACTATTTACACTAAAATAATAACATAATCATTCAAATAATTTATTATGTTCGGGTTTTCCTTTTGACAGGGCAAAAGTCCAGGACAAGATTCAATTGATTGAGAATTTGTTGGATAAAGTCAATGAAATGATTATCGGAGGAGGAATGGTTTTCACTTTTCTTAAAGTTTTGAATAATATGAAAATTGGTGCTTCACTATTCGACGAAGAAGGAGCCAAAATCGTCAATAAATTGATGGATAAGGCTAAAGCCAATAAAGTCCAAATCCATTTACCAGTTGATTTTGTCACAGCTGATAAATTCGATGAGAAAGCAACTGTTGGATCAGCAACTGTTGAATCAGGAATCCCCGATGGACACTTAGGACTTGATTGTGGTCCTAAATCAGCTGAAATATTCAGCGAAGCCATAAAACGAGCTAAAACTATTGTTTGGAATGGTCCAATTGGAGTTTTTGAATGGGAAAATTTCGCCAAGGCTACCAAAACAGTTATGGATGAAGTTGTAACTGCCACTGCAGCTGGTGCTACCGTTATCATTGGTGGTGGAGATACTGCTACTTGCTGTGCTAAATGGGACACAGAGGATAAGGTTAGTCATGTTAGTACCGGCGGTGGAGCCTCGTTGGAGCTGTTGGAGGGTAAAGTTCTTCCTGGTGTTGCTGCCCTCAGTGATCCTTGAACCTTTGAATTATGTGTACTAGTTCGATGACGATTAATGGCTTTTCCAATCAGTTAATTTACCGTCGTGCTTAAAAATTTACTTTCCCAGTGATCCCGGTCTGATTTTTCATTAGACCTAATCATCCGTGTGTATCACACTCAATCTCAACATTTATTTTTCAAAATTTTACTTCCAGTTTTAGCTTATCATCGGTTGATTGGTTTCCGTAGTTCCTATTTAATTGCTTTCTGTTGTTTTTTGGTCAGCTGATATAACAATAAAGCAATTTAAATTTGCTGTAAATTTAAATATTTACCATAAATCTTCTAGCATATTGTTTTAATCATCTATGTATGTTGAAATTTTGATTAAACTCTTTCAAACCTATCAATGAGAAATAGTCGATTTTTAACTGTCGATTTCCTATTATCGGTCACAGAAATTTACATCTTCGCTTAGTAGCTAAATTACTAAATCAGTTGGTATATAACAATTTTCTAATGAATTTTCTAGATTCTCATTAGGTTACAATATCAAATTATATTTAATTAACTAGAAGATTCAGCAAGATTGCAGAAAACAATCAATGTAATAACAATCGTTACAAAACAATGTTAAAGGACGAAATCTGAGAGCAAACAATTTCTATCTGTTTGCAAATTGTTATTCTACACTGACTGTATATCATCATTATAATAGCAATATTAAATTTGAAACTTGATTGAATTAAAAATAACAGCTTTAATCAATTGAAATAATCTAAAAATAACAAAAACTGCCATTCACTGCAAACAAAAGATAGAATTGAAAATGTAAATTTCGTTCAAATTCATTCACGTTCATTTGTCTGTGATTTGTTTTTTTTCTCGTGATTTAGCAGAAAGAATATTGAAAAATTTCAATAAGACTAGGTTATTCAATCTGATCATAAATTAATTTGAAATCGATTTGTCGATTTTTTTGATTGTATGATAATCGTTGTTATTGTTATGTCTTCATGGTAACAGAGAATCAGGTTTTAGATTTTGAAAGTAATAACATTGATCCCTTACCAGACTAACATCTCTCAACGATAGTTAAATTACTGACTGCTAATTTAATTGATAATTACGGTTTATCAATAATTTAGCGTGCTTCTTGAGTAGTCTTGAAATTAATTTGTTGTCAAATAGAGTCTCCAATCAAGGTAAGATCAAATTTATCATCGTTCTGTATTTTTGCGCTTTTCCTACCAGAAACTGTGCTTTTTTACATCCTTTGTAATACCTAAATGTGTCTTTTTTTTCTCAATTTTCTCGCCATATTTCCACTGATTTTATTATTGTTATCCATCGTATTTTGGCTTACCATTTGAAACAATGTCCTGATAATTAACATTGACTATGTCCTGATTGATAGGAATCCAATTGAAAAGGAAAAAGTCGTCACAAAGGGAGCCTAAAATCATCATTATCAACATCATAAATACAACAGCAATTGTTCAACAAAGGTTCATTTCTTTTTCTTTCCTCTCTTTCCTCCTCTCTCCTGAAATCTTACTTGGCTAAGCTTTATTCTACCCTTCGCTATTTATTCATTATTGTTTTATTCTCCTGATTATTGGTGCATGGTATTATTGGTGTGAAAAGAAGAAGAAAAACCAGAATTTGATGCTTGGTATTAGGTTGAAAAAAAGATTGAGGGAGCAATAAGGTGAAGAGAAAAAAAAGAGCAGTCATAGCTTTACAAACAAAGCATTAAGAAAAAGTTGCACTCAGATGGTGTTGATTGAAAATGACTCAATGTAATTAAATGAATGTGTCTGTCTTTTTCACTGAAATTTATCCATTTTGGTTGATTTGATTTTCCTTGTGTCTTTCCCTTTCCACCTTTCCCTTCTCCTTCTTATTGGTTTCTGCCCTTTTTACCCTCTCTCGTTCAACCTCATCGTCATCATCAGCTAATTGTTTTTGTTCAACTATATTTTTTAGCTCCATTTTTGTGCTCTTGTGTGGACAACTGGCATTCAAGTTACGGGATCGGTTAACGTTTTGTTATGTAAAGTTAATTATCAAAGCAACATCCAAATAATCCAGTGACAACTATGTTACAACCAATTGCTCACATCCTCAGTAAACAGAGAAATATTCTTGGTAGTACTTCAGTCAGACGACGAGCTCTTCTTGAATCCATTGGATTTAATTTTGAAATCATTGACAGTGGATTTAATGAGCAACTGTTACGGGACAAGTTCAGTCATCCTTGTGAATATGTGAAAGAAAACGCTAAACAAAAGGCTATCCATGTATACAAAAAGCTGGCTGATGCTGGTGAAACTGCTGACCTTATAATAGGCGCTGATACTGTTGTAACCTTTCAAGAATCCATTTACGAGAAACCCAAGGATAAAGAAGATGCTTTCCAAACATTGACCAAATTATCAGGAAATTGGCATACAGTTTTCACTGGTGTTGCTCTGGTTACAAATTCAACATCACCTCCAACAACAACTTTAGGATCTTCATCGAATGCCAGTTCTAATAAGGATGACAATGGTGGAAATGGAGATGATTTTGTGGTTACAACTTTCCATGAAGCAACTGATGTTTATATTTGCCAGTTAACACCCAATATAATCAACAGTTATATTGAAACTGGTGAACCAATGGATAAAGCTGGCTCTTATGCTATCCAAGGAATCGGTGCTACTCTTATTGAATCAATTAAAGGAGATTATTCCAATGTAGTTGGCTTACCTCTTCATCGATTGACTAAAGAACTGTATCACATGTATTCTGAATAGATTCTCCTTACATCAAACTCGATCCTGGATTGATGATTGTTCCTAAAAGTTACGAATCTTCTCTTTCTTTCCATAAATGAGGTCCATCTTTATACCTCATCCAATATTCCTGTGTAACTGTCTTTTTCTATCATTTTGTCCCAGTTTCAACATCATTATTCATGACTAAAGTCAAGTTTAATATCACTTTTGAATACGCTATTTTGTATGTTTCTCTTTTCCTCTGATAAAAATGAGGTTCTTTTTGGAAGAATTGTTATTGATAAGATAGTTGATCAAGCCTTTAATTTCGTGCTTCATTTAGCAAAAACAGTTGATTTCTTTAAATCTTGTGCGATTCTCCCATTCTAGTAGGGCTGAAATTTTCCTTACAATCTACAAATTGTAATATTGGAAATCTTTTGCGTTCAAGTACAATAGAAAATCGTAATCTTCACTTATGTAGTTTATCTAATAAAAATGACTCGAACTTGCACTAAATAATAGTTCCCACAATATCTTTTTTAATAGATAAAAGATTAAATCAGAAAATTGAAACAAAGTTGCATTATTATCCACAATTTAGTGTTTAAATGTACAGCTAAGCCAGCAGGGTTCCCTAGATTCGTTGTTAGTCTCTTTGGACTTGGTTTTAATAGCAATAACTACTCAATCGTTTTTCATGAAATAACTATTACAGATCAGAATTAAACTATTTATTGACAAATTCCATATTCAATTGTGTCCCTTTGCTAGCAACACAGAACTCTTAGGGAAACATTTATTTACAGCTATTTACACGAGGATAGAGTAGGATTTGAAATTTAGGATTAAGATCAGGAAACCGAATCTTGTATTGAAGTTCGCCAATCATCCGGAATTTAAAATTAATATTAAGCACCTCATAAAGTATAGTCTTTCTTGTCCTTTTCAATATCACCACGTAGATCTTCACTCAACTTTTTCATAGGCTCATTGTAATTGTAAAATCCTAATAACGAACTGCCCACAGTAACCACCATAAAGACCAATACATTTCCATTAATTCTATGAATCCAGGCCATGATGATTAACAAACAAAAAATGAAGAAAAACAAAACAAGCTTGAAATTAAACCAAAACACTAGCTTGAAGCTTCTATGTATGCGAATCAGCTGTTGAAAAGAGGGAAAGAGAGAGGGAAGGACAGAATCAGAAGGAGAAAATCATTGAAACAGATTTTGGAGCCAAAATGAAATCAAGACAAGTTGCTGAATTATCGAAATAAAAAAACAGATATGAGATTTGAATAGATAAATTATGTAACAAGGACTAGATTTAATGAGTGAAATTAAAAATAATTTACAACACAGTCCAATATATTTCCAGGTAAACGAAATACATGTAGTAAGCTTATTCACCACAATCAGAAAGTTTATCGTTTGATATTGTTGATAATGATGAAAGTGATGGACAGGTTATAATGTTAATCACAGGAATTTCAAACTGTTTTTCTGCTTTGATAGAATTGTTGGGAATATCATTGGCTTTATCACAATCAGATTGATCATCAGAAGAATCGCTTGAAAAACCTTCATTTTCCTTTCCTTCTTCTTCAGAATCACCAATTAAGCTGAACAAGAGTCGATCTTCATCGCAATAGGGTGGAATTGATGTCAAAAGCTGGTTGAAAGTGGGCAAAGCGAAGACTTTGGAATAAAAAATGTAACTAACACCATAATCAAGAGCAACTTCTTCTTGAGTCTCTCCTTCTTCATTTAAAATTTTCATGAGCACTTTTTTATCTACATTATAAGGTTTATGATGAAGATAACGAAGTAACCAAAATATCGAGAACAAAGTCATAATGAGAAGAGTTAAATTGACATAAACAAGATGATTGAAACTAATGGTTGTGATTTGATAACTGCAAACTCCAACTGTCCAGATTGCACCAAAGCAAACGTTTTCAATCAAGATTATGACCAAAAATAGTTGTGTCCGTCCAGCGTCTTTCATTTGAAACATTAAAGGCCAATAAATGATTGAAGGTAAACCATAAATGACAAAAGATAATAACCAGAGAAGCAATCGTCCTCGTCCAAAAGCTATCTTCCAGTCAAGAATAGCTTCAAGATCATTAAGGATAACATCGATATAAGACTGTCGAGCAATGTAAAAGACCCAAGAATTGATGGCAATGGCATGAGCAAAGATGATGACAATTATCCAAGATTTGATTATAGTAGTTGCTAAACAAATAGCAAGAGCACGACTCATAAACATGGATATCCATCCAAGGCGAACGTACAAAGATGATAAAAACCTATCATCACGGCGCCTTATTGCCTCCAACATTGAAAGTAAGCTCAAAATTGAGCCAATCAATTCGCCAGTCACTATGAGAGGGAAATTTGAAAAATCACAAGTTAAATGAAAAGCCAAAAGATCTGTAGTTACCTAGTTTTGTATCTTGCATTTCTTCACCGGTCCATCCCCAGTTTACCAGAATAATATACAGTTGAAGGCAAATACCGAGGAAACCAGAAAACATGTCTTCAAAGAATTCCAGTAAATCACAATCAACGCCCATCGAGAAGACTACCTTGGCATCATAAACTGACCATACACGGTCACAAATCCGTTGAGCTGAATAGTGAAGAGTATCAAGACACTGTTTGACCTGCCAAGGCACTAGCAGTAAACCATTGATCAGGGCCACAATAATGTCTTTCTGGCTGGGTTGACATCGAATGTCGATTAATTTAGTCAAAATCATGTAGATTAAACACATCAAAGTAGGTAAGATTAACATTAAGACGGAGATAATGAAGTAAGCCGTATCAGCATCATTGCTATATTCAATGGCCTGACCAACATCTTCATATAACTTGTGAAGCCAGACACCAAATTTAAACAATGAAAGGACAAATAAAATTTGGTAACGATATTTGGTCGTAAAATATTTGTAATAGATGAGAATATTAAAAGACCAATGTAACTGGAAAGAGAAATGATTACAATTTAATTGGGAAAGTTTAAAATTTTTGCATAATTACCTCGATTGAAGACTCTTCAAATTTTGATGAAACAGTTGTATCATTGTCTCTAGACTGTCCCTGACAATCGCCTAGACTTAATTTTACTTCACTGGTGTTTTTTTCGTTTCCCATATTTTCAATTTAATTGTCACAAAGATCATCTTTATACAAAACAGAGTTAATGTAAAATGAAGTAAACAATTTATTTAAATTGAACTAGACAATGAATCTTTTTTTCATTGGCTGGCATATGCTTCAATTGGTCAACCAAACGATCATACTTGTAGTTTGAGACAATACAAAACACAATTTACTTCAAATTTAAATTTTTCAATCATCAACTAAACAGTTATTTTTATTTTTATTAAAATTTCATTCTTCTCTTGCTCTTCTTGCTTTTCGGAGCTGTGATTTTTAAATGATTGTTTGGATTGACATGCAATTGAATTAACTTCAAGATCAACTTGCTGCTTATGTCGAGTGACTTCGTCACGGAGTGGTCAGCATTTGTTATCGATATAACAATTAAACTTGATAATTGATAGCCGACTCAATCAATTTTGAAAAGTCCGATAAGAAATACAGTAAATCGATTTACGAAGTACGAATTTATTGAGTGACTTAAAATATAATAATAATTTTTAAAAACGTAACCCTTTTCAATGAATCAAAAAAACCATTGGGTTTAATGTCTCTTCTCCATCATTGATACCTCCAATTTATAACAACATGTGAAATAAGGAATTGAAATATTCTTGATATTCTGGTAAAAGACTTTCAAAGCTGGCGCCAATTTCAATGGACAATCAAATTACACAGATGAGCAATTTGCCGTGATTTTAAATACTCAGAATTGACTTAAACTGAAATAAGCTTACATTGGTTCTAATCAATGACGATACAACCAACTTGATGTGCCAAAACAATTTACTTTAAGCTAATTACATCTATATTCTTGGATAGATCGAAATTGAATTTAGAAAATTATTTTTTGATGAATTCTTCAATAGCTAGATTGACAATATTTGCATATTTTAGAAATGGATAATGACCAGCTTTCTCGAATTTCATTATTTGAATCCAATCGTCTTTTGAGCCTACAAGTTGACATGGGAAAGATGTGAATCATGATAAGACAGTGGGTATTTTCTTGAAAATTGAATCTTTTTGTTTACTACCAAACTTACCTGCTGCTAAACAATTTCCTTCACCATCATAATTAGTATAATGAACATCTTTAGCACCTAGAATTTGAGCAATTTCGTAAAAAAATTCTTTCTCAATCAATTTGTCCTGATCACCAAATATATACAGCAAATTTGGTTTCTGTTGCCTAACAACTTCCAAAAGTTCAGGCAACTGCTTGCAAATAGAAAAGAAATTGAAGTCGAATTTAAAGAGAGAAAATTATTTAGCGATATTCAGTCACATAAACTGATGGTTAGCTTACTCTAGTCCATCCAGATAGATGCATGACAGTTGCTGCGAGGATAACATTATCAGGATTATTGGCCTCTATTTTTGGCTTTATGAGTTTAAAAGCATATTTATAGCATTTGCGATAAATCGTACGGCCAATTGGGTTAAGTGTGAATCGAACAAGATTGTCGGTAAACCAGGCTGGCTTCATTCCTGCAGTTCTTCGATGTGCACCAGGAGAAATTAAAACAATAGACTTAATTGGAAATTTTTTGTCACTATACAATGAAAGAGAAGGATAAATCCCACTACTGTGTGAAACAACTGTATCCAACCTAAATTAATAAAGAAAAAGTAGCAAATTAAATTAATTTGAATGAATTGAGAAGAAATTGAAATGAGCTGAACAATCAGTGTATTTCATTTGGTGTATTTACCTATCGACGTCTATCGCTCTGAGAAAATCATGAAGAAAGTTAGTTTTCTCTTCAGTTGAATGACGAAAATATTTTGACCAATCAATTGCGGCATATTCTGAGAATGTATGGAATAATGAAAATAACTTAATTTCATGGAGTCATAAGTTTCTTGGAAAGATCTTTATGGAAGCAATTGGTTAGAATACCTGGCCAATTCGGGGCGATGACACGAACTCCTTTAGGTGCTAGATGATTAATCAATGGATGGAAGGCTTCATGTGAACCAGGAGCACCATGTAGAGTTAATAATACCGGGGCTTTATCATTGTTGACATACTCTTTGGTATCCACATACTCAACATTAAAAGATAGACCTTCTTTAGGAGCACCAACATAGGCTTTTCTTGTTTCTCTCCATTCCGCATACAATGGACCACAAGTTTGAATAGTAATCTGTTTAATCGAGTCTTTTAATAAGAAAGGCTTTTCACTTTGGGTATTAGTTCCATACCAATAGCTATTCTTCGGCAATTGTTGTTTCGGATCCTTGTAATTTAAATATAAAGAGGATAGGAGTTGATAAAATTTATTAGACACACATGTTTCAACACATTTATGGTTTGTTTTTCTAGTCCTATGAATAGCGGGAAATTTGTATTTACAGTTGTAACCTTTTCATTTGGATGGCTCCACAAACTGGAAAAATGTCGGGTTAAGAGCCGACTTTCGTTTTTAAATGTAGATAATAAGGTGACTTTATGCAGGGAAATAAAGAGATCCATAATTATTATACTCAAAACATATTAAAAGGTTGTTTACAGTATCATGTGTTTTAAACGATGTTTTAATGGTGGAAAAATGTTGATTATTTAAGGTGGAATTGGATAATGATTAGTAAAATTAAGATAGTTTAGAAGAAATATTATTATACTTTAAAAATAAATCGTTGTTGATCAAATTGTGCCATCACGAAGTCCATAAACTTGGATTAAACGAGTCAAAACGTAACAAAATGTTTATAACGCCCGGTGAACTTGTGATGAATTTGCTTTTAAATCAAGTGTATTTATCCACAATCACCGATTGACAATCAGAAAGATAACTGACTGAGCAAATTAGAATGGAGCTGCTTATCAATGCAGATAATTCAGAACATTGTACCTAATACTAATCATCGATAGTGTTTTTAAAGCCGAAGAGGAGGAAGGAAGAAAAGTAGAAACGAAATTATATTTTCATTTTAAAGGTTATCAGCAAAAGATACGGTAACTGTTAAAAAGTAGTTATAATCCGAGATCCAAATCTTTAGATTGATACATTATAAATATCCATATCGATCCAAACATTGATTAGATCTCAAGTCTTAATTCTCTGACTATTGTTAATTATATGCGTTTATGAATTGTTACCTCAATATCCAAAGGATTCATCACCATTTCCACATTCCCGGCAATGGTCAAAAAGGACATTTCGGTAAAGAACCAGCACATTTATGGGGAATCCTGAAGTCAAAGCAATATCGATGGATCTCATTTTGTAGGAACCATTGAAGAATCATGAAGAAAACCAAACTCTCTCATCCTAATCAATTGTGTATTCCATCCGATTCTCAAGAAAGGAATTCTGGTTCGGCTTATCTCTTCTAATGGTGTACCAGAAAATTCATCAAACCAGTCTTCAATATTTCTGAAATTTGTTTTACACTCATTTGTATTATAACCGAATTCATGTTGATAATCACATTAGTTATTCTTCGAAGTTATTAGATCAACTTCATTGACTCTTCTTCATCTAATATTATTACATTTTGTTTCCTGATGAATAATTTACTTGAAGTCTGACCAAACTAAATAATTTAACCAACAATAGAGAGTTAATTTAGCACACAATTTTGACCCATAAAAGGGTTGTACAATGAAAAATTGCATTTATCAATATTAAAATATTAATAGTGCATTTGATGTCCAATCAATAGTAAAATTGATTCCATTCTTTCCTCTCATTAAATTATCAGGATTCATCTTGATTTTTAACTCAAGGATTCATTGATTTCATCCTTTAATATAAATTATGCACAAAGGCTTTTATCAATTATTGTATTAAAACTTTATCAGACTGACAATTTCATCAAATGTTCAAGTCCAAATTAGGTTAACTCATTAACTTTGCCCGTGATTTGGTTTACCCTTGAACCAGACATTTTCATTAAGAAACATTGAAACTTCCTTGATAATGATTATTGGCTATTGATTTGCTCTTCAATACCAAAGATGGCAACATTTAATTATAATCACACATTAATTAGAGACTCAATTTCAATATCAAGCATTAATTGTTTTATTGATTGAATCGTATCTGAGATGTAAATTGAATTGAGACACAATCCATCCATAATAGATGAAGCCAATAATTTTGAAAAGAGTCTGTGATTGAGTTAAAATTGAGATTAAAGTTGAACAATAAAGATGAATATGAAACATTGGCTATCAATTGTCTTATTAATCTCTAGCCTTAATTGTAATCTTTGTGATAAAAGGTTGGAACGGTTGGTGTCTGATCCCGACGAAAACAGAACTCCCTGCGAAATGATTGAGTCTCGTAATTTCAAATGTGATACTCATTGGGCTAAAACGGCCGATGGTTATATAATTGCAATTCACCGAGTAATAAACCCAATATTGAAGGCAGCAAAAAAACCAACAATTAGACCGGTTGTGGTACAACATGGTCTTATTGGTTCAACTTTGCATTGGGTTATTGGCTCTGCAGGTGGGTTTGCTGCTGACTGGACAAATGGAAAGCCCAATGTTGACCTGAATGTGGAAGGACGCAATTTACCCTATTTACTGGCCAATTATGGTTACGATGTTTGGATGCCCAACTCAAGAGGCAACCAATTTTCACAGAATCACACTTTTCTTGATCCAGAAAAAGGTATTTAAACATTTAGATTTTGCTCGCCATTCACCAATATTTTCATCAATTAGATTCAGATTTTTGGAAATTTTCATTTGATGAAATGATTATTTACGATTCACCAGCCGTTATTGATTATATTTTGCGAAAAACTGGTTACAGTAAGTGTTTATTAGCTCTAGTATTGTTGGATATTTACATTTTTCTTAAACATTTAACTTTCATTGAAAATCAGAGAAACTGGATTGGATTGGTGTTTCTCAAGGAGCAATGATAATGTTTGGTCTTTTAGCCGAGAAACCAGAATATTCAGCAAAGATTAACCTTTTCTATGGATTGGCACCAGCCGTCTTTTTGGGCAACATGGCCAGTCAACTTAAATCAATTGCAAAAGTGCCGGGTTTGCTGAAGATTGCAACTCTAATTAAAGCAGAATTTGCGATTCCAAGAAGTGTACTTGATCCAGTTGTTGATCAATTTTGTGGTGAATTAGGAGGTCGTAATATTTGTCAATCGGTATTTGAGTTCCTAATTGGTAAAAACCCAAATGCACTAAACTCATCTAGATTGTTAGTCTACATAAAACAAGGCATTAATCCCACTTCATTCTGGAATCTGGTTCACTATGGATCATCTGCTGCCACTGGAAAGTTTGCTAAATTTGATTATGGTTGGCTTGAAAATCTTGCTCGGTATGGGTCCATAAATCCTCCAGAATATAAACTTTCTGCAATCAATTTGAAAAATATAGTAATCATGTCATCCGATAATGATATTTTAGTTTCTCCAAAAGATGTGCAAATACTTAAGAAAGCGGTTAAAGGTGAGAAAAGACTGAAATCAAATTGAAATATTGAATTGAAAAGATTAACCTTTTCTTGCCTTTTCCAGTTCCGATTATTGAATACCGAGTAAAGGATAAAAATTTTACTCATGGAGACTTTTGTATAGCATCAAACGTCTATGAGATGGTTAATGTTCACATTGTAAGGCATTTAAGGCAATCCAGCTAAACTTGGCATTGAATTAATTGTTGAACTGCTCCAGATTAAATAGCATTCATTGTAACCAAAGAGTGAAGAGCACAATCTATTTAAAGGACAGAGCAATTTATACTCTTTGAGGAGTGATTATTAAAAATTAACAAAATAAATTAAAACCAATTGAATATTGTATTTTTGGAATCTATTTTGACTTTTGGGTTCTTGATACTTACTGAATCTAGACCCTAATAAATGGAAATTAAAACTATTACAAAAATTTTTCCTCTTTCCTTTATTTTCTCTTGAGTCCAATTCAATTTGTGGCAATAATTGTATCAATTCTGACAAATTGACTCCAAGTAGCCGATAAGTGCCTAAAAGTCTGACCATTAAACATCTTTTGTTCAATGAGCAACTTCACTTCAAGTAAGATCTTCAGATTTGTTGGCCTAACATTTTGTTTCAGTTTTTAATGCTTTGCTTGATGCTATTGAAATATCAATTTAGTTGAAGATAATTTGAAATGATCAAATTGATCTGTTTGATGAAATGAAATGTTCAAATGAACTTCATTGAACAACCGAGCTTCATTGAACTCTCAACGCCATCTAAACAACAATTTGTGAAGTAAAACTCATTGATTATTGAAATTTCATCTCCATTCACCTTGCGATCTAAGCAAAATCTAATTGAGCTATTTCTGTTTATCGTTGATTGTTTTGGTTCAATTTGTTGGCGCACCTCCAATTGATAACTTTATTGATTCTATCAGCGCATGATTCTCGATTTTTATCATGAAAAAGGAAAGAAAAAGCTGTTTTTTCAGTTTTGTAATTTGGAAAGAAAGAAAGAGAGGCAAAAGTAAGAAGAAGAAGAAGAAGAAGACGAAAAGGAAAGAAAAGAAAGATAAAAAAAGTAGTTCTTTGCATTTTCATCATTATGAGAATCTTTATCATGATGATCAACAATAAAAACTACAGGCCAATCCAAATATTATACTTTTATATTCACAGAAGATTCAGAGCATTCTCGTTCCTTCTCAATCTTCCCAGTCTCACTCTAATCTTCCTATCTTCAACTCCCGCCAAACTATTTTCATTTTCAGTTTCACCTTTTACTTCTCTTCTTTCCTCTTTTGTGACAAAAACTGGATCCAATGGATTAAGGTTTTACCAACAGCAAACATCAGCAGAAACATCAGGCAACATCATTTAACATCATCAGCCAAACATCTTGAAGAGAATCAATTTGACAACAATTTAACTACAATCCAAGTGAACCTACATGCCTAAGTAACAAGTAACCTCAACCCATCAGCCAACCACCAAGTTAACCATTTGAAAATTGCTCTTCAATTACAATGAAAATTGATTCAACCAGTTGAATCAAGAGCAACTAAAATGGATGAAAAACAAGAAAACGATTTGAAAACATTAAATGATTAACATCGGCAAAGAGAAACATTTCCCTATGATTAAGCCATCCAAGGTGTAAGGTAAGCAGTTTTGGTTAAAGATTATTTTGATAACAATTCCTTCCTTTGTTATCCCATCATTTACCTGAAACCAAGTATCAAATTTCATCAGTTTTTCATCTTTTCTCATCATGCTTTTCATGCCAATCCCTTTTGAATAAAAGTGAATCTTGAAGGCATGAAACTAACACTTTTTTTAAACTTTCACCATTACCAACTGACAGATTGACTTGTTTCCCATTTGTTATCATTTCAATGTTATAATCATTATTGTTACAAAAAACATCAAAAATTTTAACCTTAAAAGCTTTAATCAAAATTATTCATTACTCTTTAAAACTGAATATCAAGTTACACTTTACCTCCCAGTATCAAAAGCCAGGTTTAACCAGAAAAAAATGTCCTCCATTCATCAATTCAACTCTAATTATCTGCTCATTAATTCACCTTCCCATGTAAACAAGGATAACAATATTAATACTTTTATTTACCAACTCTTGAAGCCAATTAAAGTGAACCTTGTTTCAATCTTCACCAAAGGTTAAACAATTAATTATCCAAATCTGACTTAATTGTACAAATTTAAGGTTAATGTCATCTGTTGATTTTAAGATCCATTCTGGACTTTAAATGAACCCAAAAGGAAACCCAAAAAAAGTGAAAAATTTTACCAAATTGATCAAATTTGCCAAGCAATCAACTAGAGTAAACAGTGAATGTCCATAAATAATTGAGTGTTAATTGCGAGTTACAACTGTCCTGTTAAAGGGTTTGATCAAGTGTGTGATTAAATGTGAAAAATGTTGAGTTGTTTGAAAGGTGAATGTTGAAGTTACCAGGAAAAAGGAGCTAAATTCACTGATAATGAGTCTAAAAATGAAACAAAAAAGTTACAGTAAACATTAATAAGCTTCTTCCATGCATATGCATTATTAGGCTTTTTGCAAATGAAAAGTATACCAAGAATATACATTAAACCAGATTTACCATGTTAGACATTTTTTGTTGCTCTCATTTTCATCATCATTCAGACTCTCGATTTTCTCTCTCATTTCTTTTTTTGCTGTTGTTGTTCAGTTGATCGATTTTATCGTTTCTTAAGCAAAGAGAAGAGCAAAACCTTTTTATCACTCATAGACTCTCACTGGATTTGAGTGACAACCTTTTCTCTTAACATCATCATCATCATCATCTCTCATCATCTCTCATTTGGCTCTCTTTATTGATTTTGCAGGTAAAAACCAGGGCTTACTAGGCTTTCTTCCTCTGTCATTATCTTCATCATTATCATCATTATTATTGTCTGTATCATCATCATCATCATCTTTATCGTTCACATCATCGTTGTTACCGTTGTTACCATAATCATCATCAACAACGACATCAACCATCAAACCAACAAAGCCAATTTCAACATTATTTCAACTCTTTTTTTGCCTGCTTTTTGTTTCTGGTTTACTTTCATTGATGATGATCATTTCAAGGATTAAAAGTGCTCTAATAATGGATAAAAGTTTTGTAAAAATGATCAAGTGTAAAAGCCGTTTTACCATCGGAAAGTTGACAACCAGCTAAGTGTATGCAATTGAACAAAAATGTGATTCATAAATTGTCTTTACTTTTGTTCACTGTTTTCATTTTCACTTGTTTGTGCCTAACAACAATTTAAATTATTGCTATTATGGTAAACTTGAATCAAGAAAGGATATTATTTATTAGCCCAAAATGAACACCAAAAGCCAAGGGATAACCCATAAAAGTATCAACAGTTACCCAAGTCAACCCAATCACACTAGCCTTAAACTAAATGCCTTAAATGTTAATATCGCATGTTAAAAGTGACATTTTAAATTGTAAATAAATTCAATTGTGAAAATTGGATTCACAATTGAAACTTGAAACGAACAAAAAGCTTTTTTTGTTTCTTAAAGAAAAGATAAAAAATTGACTCGTTTTTTGGGTAAGTTTACCTTTTGCTTTTGTCTAAATGAAATTAGATTTGATTGAATTGAGGTTTGCATTAACGTTTGGATTCTGTTTTAAGCTGAGCATTGGAAAGTTGAAAGCCGAGCCAATGTTATTTGGTCGTATGCATTCCGAACCTGAAAGGCCTGAGCCAACAGTTGGTTTGGATTCCTTGGAACCTCCTGTTGATGCCACTCTTCAGCCCAGTTACCGTTCGTGTCCTGAAATTGGTCCACAAATAACAATTAAATCATGTGATGAACCCGATGAGAAAGAGTTGCAATTGATTCGTGATCATTCCTGTGTCACTCATCGACGTCGATCCAATGCAACAACTGCCTGCTGTAGAGGTCACAATGTGGTCAATACAAACATAGCTCCACCATTTGGAGGTAAATATCAAAGTTAACAGAAAAAAGTTAATTTCTAAAGATTTATGAGTTCGAACATAAAAGCTCAATGTTTTCAGGCAAATTATTCTGTTTCAATGGAGAGAGAAAAAAAAGAAACAAAAAGAATGGCAAAAGTTGAATATAATTTCTTATACAATAACGATTGTTGTTGTTTGTAACTTAATGGCAGCAAAGGAAATGTATTATCATTGAATGTTATTGAAAATGTTGAGGAGCAAAAAAAATGCGAAATGAAGAAAAGTTGGAAAAATCGGAAATGAGATGAAAAAGAAAGATGTTGGTAATGGTTGTTATTGAGTAGTTGAACAGATGAACATGATGATGATAATAAGTTATCTTGGCCTGAATCCCAAAATAATTTTCCCCTTGGAATCAAAATTATCTGTGAAAACATATAGACAGTTATTTTTGGTTATTTCTTGTTCTTACATTTCCTTGCAATATTTATATTTTGCCCTTCTTCTTGTATACAGAAGAGACTCATTTTACTTTCATGGTTTGATTTGTTTTCAATGAAATAGATGAATAAATAAATTCAATGAAAAACATGAAACTTGCTATTAAAACTCAAAGTTGACAGAAGAAGAAGAAGAAGATGAAAAAAAAGAAAAGAAAAAAAAGGAAGAAAATATTTCTTTTTTATTAACTTGCAACTTGTTTTTTGCCTCCCAATCCTGTGTCTCTTCATCCTTTTATCACAATCCTTTTATGATGATAACACTTTGACTGGAATGCTGAAAACTCCCAGTAATAGGATCCAAAGTGAGGCATCATCTTTGGCCATCTCATGCGCGTTTGGGTCTCTCTCGTCTTGATCATAGTTTCTTGACACGGACTATTTCTCGTGAGAGTGTGCGCCTATCAAGTCAGGCTTTGAATTGCTGTTGTGAGGCATCAACACCATTGTTTCACTGTTCACACTTGCAGCCAAATTCAAGTTGTCAACAACAACAAAAGCAGACTTCATCTTCATCCCATCATACGGGATATGCTGTTGGATCAACCGTTGCAACTAGTGGTCCTTACGGTGCATGCTGTGTCTCTGTCAACACTGGCCATCATCATCATCACACTCATCACAACTGTGCTCACACTTGTACCAACACTAACCACTATCACCTGGGTACATCGACTGGAGTCACAGGCGGAGGAGGAGGAACGAGTAACTTTATTGCTTCCATTCCTCCCTACCTGGCAACAAGTGGTACTGGACCAACTGGTCCCACCTATGGTACTAATGTTAGCTTTACTGGACATGGTTCCAATTGTCCCTACAATCCGGCCACTCGAGCCTCGCTCACAGGAATTACATCTTCAGTTTATCGAATGGTTGACAATGAGATTGCCGAGATTGCAGCAGATTCACTTCGGGTCAACGGAGCGTTTCCCGGCTTCCGAAATTTACGTAAACCAGTTACTTCTTCAACTCTTTCCATTCCATCGGCAATGAAAAACGCAACCCACAACTCGTCACATCAACCAGCCAACTCTCAACACAGAACCAGTGTGGTTGATGGAATAGGTGATCACTCTATAGGTGTAGTGTCTGACCTAATTGCGGGAACACTTGGTGTAACCAATAAAGACGGATTTTTAAGCATAACAACGGAAAATCCAGCGCCAGGACCAGTTACAAATCAGCGTTCATTTGCCTCCAATTCAGTTGACAGTGACAAGAAGCGTCCACACAATCCCAGTATAACTGGACAAGGTGGAGGTGCTGGCAGTGTAAGTGCAGGCGGTGGTGGTCCAACTGGTTTCCACAGGCCAAATGTGGGCTACCGTTTAGGCCGAAGAAAAGCTTTGTTTGAAAAGCGAAAAAGAATCAGTGATTATGCTCTAGTAATGGCTCTTTTCGGTATAATTGTCATGGTCATTGAAAATGAACTTTCATCAGCCGCAGTCTACACAAAGGTAAGTACCCTTCTAACCCTCGATGCTCTTTTAAACCCCTAAACAACATCAACTGCCACAATCACATTTCATCACAAAACCTCGACAAAAATTTCATGGAAGAAAAAAAAACTCAAACTTGAAACCTTTGATAACCACTGTTTACTTGGCCCATTTAGAGCTTCAAATTCATGTTTACAGTGATATTTAAACTATTAATAGACTAAATCATGTTAACATGAAAGTTGCTAAAAAAAGTAATGGTTGCCGGTGTAGGCAAAGATAAACTTGAAGATGTTTTTTAATGAATCTTAATGAAAGTTTGTACATTGAACCAGAACAGAATAAGCTTTGCATGAATAGTTTTATGATAACAGAACTGAAAATAAACAAAATAAAACCTGCAACCAAATTAAGGCGTATCTCGATAACCTTTCATAAACGTTGTCATGAAAAAGGCCTGGTAAAGTGCAACATTGAACATAATGTTACCTTCAACATTATCTGATATTACTTGATCAATCCCAAGCATTCCCAGAGAAGCAAAAGATTGTTGGTTTCAACCGTTTCATATCTTTTCCTAATCATTATCCAAGGCACCAAAAAAAAACGAACCATTTTTTGGGCAAAATTTTCCAGCAAAAAAAGGAAAAATATTGAAAATTCAAAATCTTATCCAATGTTAACCTGTTTCACTTGATATTTACTCAAACTATTATCTTGTCAAGTTAACCTTTAATCAAATTTACATTTGCAACATGACATCATTGTCATCATCATTTTGCACTCGTAAACTCCTTGAGGTTACCCAGGATACAATCTCCAATTCTGGTTCTCAAATTATGTAATCGATAAACTTTGGTCACAGGTAAACTCCTTCAGGGAGTTTTTGCTTTCTTCACTCCCAGTGCCATTCCCTGAGTTTTGATGTTATCTTTGAAAATGAAAAAAACAACAACAAATGTATAAAAGTTTGTCATAACAGTTATTTGCTTTTTTCATCAACAAGAAACAAAACTCGATTTATCATCGTCTTGCGTTCATTTCTCATGAGAACCATCCATCAATAAGAATAATGTTATCTCAAGAAAAAAAGGCTAAACATTAATTGTTTCATTGCGATATCAAAAATTCTATTCTTATTTATTCTTCTCCTTGTTTCACAATTGTCGTTGATTAATTGAATATTTTTTCCTCTTCATTATCATGTTGCCAATGAAAGTCGACTTGTGATTGATGAAAAAACTGTTTCCAGTTGAAATGCTCTTCTGCATCAATTGGGCAACAAAAGTCAACGTTCATGGAAAATTTGCAAAATTAAATATTAATGAAGAGAATCGGAGAAAAAAAAATTCTCAATCAAAATTATCCATCAATTATTGATCATCTTTTCATGGAAATTCATTTTTTGCAACTTTCCACTTTTTCATAAACTTTTGATTGATCATCATTGAGAGCGAAAACATTTTCCAACAATTTAGACTGTAATCGAAGCTGTAATTAAATTGTCAACTTTCATTTTTTGCATCAATTTTTATTCTTTCCTCATGATTATCGTTGAAACATTATCTTAAGATAAACTGAAACATGCAATTTGTAAGCTCCAGACTCCAAACATTGTCTAATTAAATGCAATTATTAAATTGTTCATTGACCAGAAAAAAGTTGAAATCACTTTTCTGTTTTAGTCATTTTTATGTAAAATGAAAAGTTTGGATTCCATGAAAAGATTTTTGTGAACTTCAATAGAATTGGTTTAAGAGTTATTCTCAATCCCTGATTCCCTGTAGAATTGTAATTGCAAATTCTGCCTTCTTTCGTTGGATTAACCAACGAATTGAGAAAAAAAAGTTGTCACTAAACACCATCAAATCTCATGATTTATCATGCACATCAGGCTGAGTCAAAACCTTATGTTACTCCTAGTTTTGGGTATTATTTGGATAACACTTATAAAAGTTAATCAGAAAAAAAGTTCCGGTTGGTGATCTCAATTGAGCTTAATCATGGTTGGTTAGTCTTTGAATGGTTTTGATTTGATTCTTGAAACAAGCAGAAAATTCGTTTCATGATCAATCGTTAATTGCTATTTGGATTATCTCTGTGACTCTTGGAACGAGAAAACAAATCATTTCTATCTGACTTTGATTTTTCCATCAACAGAATTTTTCATTTCAGAAAACGCAAAACTCTTCCATTCCATGGAGTTTCCTTGCTATTGAAATATGATAAACTTGAAATTGATATTAAAGTTAAATTAATTATTCAAATGAAAACAAATTTCATTTTCTATTCTTTAATCAACTATTCACAAATCACGATATAAATTCATTTTCCATTTCATGGGTTAACTAGTTTTTCCTTTTCTAATATTTATTCATTTCTCATTATTTTTACAACATATTTCTGTCTCAACTCATTTTGATAGACTTAGAACAGGCCAAGAATATCTGAAGGAAAATCAATGAAAATGCTAATGGATAAAAGTATCGATTCCATTAGCTAAAAGTAGACTCTGATTTTTTCAGGTAATTGCATTAGAAATTTTTTCCTTTTTTCACCAAATGAAACTTCATTAAATTCAACATTTGAAAAATGATGAATTTTGTTTTCCTTTGTCTAGTCGCTAAGATTAATTGAAGCAAGGGAATCAACGAAACTTATATTTTTAACTTTTCCTGGTTTCCAGTTGAACCATTTGGTTAATCACAGTTTTGGTCAAATTTGGGTTCAATGTTAAAATGGAGAATCGCAAAAGTGTGGAAAAGATTTAAATTATTTTTCGGTTAAAACTGGCCATTCTTTTGCTTCCCTTGAATCCCTATTGAATTACTTGGATATTAAATGATGTTTCCTGATATCGAATGATTTGGGTTTGAAAATTTATTGCTCAAAATAATGTTGTGATTGTCAGTGACGAGTGAAAAAGTGTGAAAATCCATTTCAAGCTGAACAAAGGTTTGGGAAGGAAAAGAGAAAAAGATTTTCTACAGAATCAATGGTTCACCTAAATATATTTATGGTTGAAATTGAAGATTGAAAAACAGCTTTTTGCTTTCCAACCTGAACCTTGATCATTCCAGGATAATCAATTTGAGCAAAATCATTGAACATCACACCATCAACTTGATAACTCGAGAAAACCTTTATTTTCACTTTAAGATACTTTGATTTATTGATAGACTCGTCCATGTTATCCATTCACTTGGATAATTTATTCATTTACACAAACAAATTGATAGAAAGGGTGACAAAATATTGCTAATTCATTCAAATGGACATTCCATTTAATCAAACCTGATCATTGGTCAGTCCAAAGATTATTCAATTCAAAGTAACTTCCTAACTCAATCTTGACATTTGCTAATAACGTTAGAATCGCGAATTTGCTCAATCTCAATTTAATGTTGTTTCAAATTGAAAACCCATTTTTACCTTTCAATTGTTGAAACCAATTGAAAGGTTTTAAATTTAATTGCTGCTTTGATTCAAACACCAACCACAATCAACGTCAAATGACACTCAACTCAAAGGTGTTTACTTTTCTTGTTATTCCGATAATTGAACATTTCTTGGTTGATTCTGAATTACAATTGTAATGATTGAACTCATTTCGTCTTTAAAAACAAACGTCTTTAAAGCAATAACATTTACATAAATTAATAATTTAATTAACCATCCATTTGGGCAATTGCTTCTCATCTTATTCAATTCTTGCATATTTTTGCACTTTAGCGTGATTTAACGTTATTTTGCTCATAGACTTGATCAAGTTAACTGTAAATTTGATTTTCAACCAACATTCATTTTACAACCATTCCGGCTGAATGAGTGTTTGCAATGAAAATTGCTTTCGCTCATTAACAATTGATTAACAAAGTGAACATTTTTATTACATTTTTTACTTCGTTTCATCTATTTTCAGCAAACTCTGTGTAGGCGTCTCTTGATTCAGTGCATCATGTTCATGAGCCTTTCCCTTTTCCTCAATTGCTGTATTTCTGTATATTTTCAACTTTACAATTGAAGTTGTTTAAAATTAGAAAAGCTTTCTTCAGAGAAACCTCAATAGTACAAGGTTGATCTTTTTGATATTCACTGTGGTAACAAGAAACTGGATTGCAACTTGTTAATTAAGACTAAGAAGATGATTAACAGTTAACATGGTTGAACCGTTCCATTGATTATCTTAAACTATCCAACTATGAATAGACTGCCATTGATGGTAATAATACAATGTATCCTTTATGTTCCCTTATGGTTACAATGAAAATGACCAAAAATCGCTTTTCTTATCCAACCCAAAACTGGACCCAAAAAGACAATGGAATTATTGATTTATCAGTTTTGATGATACAATTAACAGTGATGAATGGACAATATGAGATGTTATTATCGGTTAAATAATGTTCACATTGAATCAAGTCAAAGTCATTTTCATTGTAAATGTTGCTCTCAAGATTAATGATGTTTAAAATGAGTTCAACTTTGGATATTGAAATGTGGTAAACAAATGAAATTAAATTAAAGTTGAATCAAGAAAAGACTAAATCAAAGTTTCCAGCTTACATGATTAATGACTCGAGCAACAACTGAAGTTGAAATTTTATTCATCAAAAGTCGAATGTCGATTTATAATGTTTGCCTTATAATGTTTGCCTGTTTCACATTTGCAAATCAATTAAATTAGCAATAATTTATCATTCAGTTTTTATTAATGGTAAATATTATAATTGCCAGTGAAATGTTGAACAATTGATCGTCAAGTAAAAATAACTCAATATCAGATGGATTCAGATGAGTTCAGATGAGTTCTCGGCTTTTATTAAATCATCAATATCTTTAGTCTCGCAACTCACATCAATAACATTAGCTGTTGATAATCAGAAACTATTTACAGTTATCTGTAACTGTCAGCTTTTCTCACATAAATCTTCAATTCTCGAGTTAATCGAATTGTGATTAACTTGGATCTTTACTCTCATCCTAATTGCCTGTAACTTTTGCTTCTTTTTCGTTTT